GCCAAAAGACTAAGTTAACCCGGAGCTGTCAGCCTAGGTGGTCACAGGGATTGGAGAAAGTGGACAGAGCTGAGCCTGCTGGCCTTGCTTACACCCTGGGGACAGAAGAGTAGATCTGCTCCAGGACTTCCTCCCCAGGTGTGTGGTCTGTGCTAGGTTTAAGCCGGTGCAGGGGCACACAGTGGAGGATGGCTGTCACTCAGGTGGTGTGGGCCCAAGCCATGATGTAAGAGTTAGGAAAGGAGAGATCATGTGCTCAGGCCCCAAGCTTGACTTCGGGGCAGCTGGAGAAAGGTGGTATTAGAGCAGGTTTGGAAGGCTGGGATGGATAGGTCTCAAGCACAGAGGAGGAGTCAAGCTATGTGAGCCCTCACAGAGGCAGGAGATGTGAAGCCAAGGTCTAGGGGAACCAAGAGAGAGACCAACAGTCTTAGAAGTCTTGGTAGAGTTCTGAGTTATTAGGCTAGGATAATACCACAAAAGATCAAATCATTGATTACATAAAGCCTAGCTGAGAAATGAGTCTGCTAGCTTTTACTGAGAATGATCACTATGCTGGTCAAGCTCTGATTATTCACTGGACAGAACGACAAACATAGTTGCTACCTGCAGGTCACTTCCTATCTTACATGCTAGGCAAGTGCTCTACCACTGAGCTACATCCCTAGCCCTTTTTCCACTCTATTTTGAGACATGATTTTGCTAAGTTGCCAAAGTAGGCATTTATCCTAGTTTGTTTCTCCATTGCTGTGACAAAACACTCTGACCAATACCAGCTTGGGGAAGAAAGGGTTTATTTTATCTTACATCTCCCAGGTTCATCAAGGAGCCCAAAGTAGGAACTCAGGGCAGGAGCCTGAAGGCAGGAGCTGGAGCACAAGCCATGGAGGAATGCTGCTTACTGGCTTTCTCCCCTGGCCCCTGCTCAGCCTGCTTTCTTATGCAACACAGGCTCACCTGCCCAGGCGTAGCACCACCCACAGTGGGCTGGACCCTCCCACATCACACAACAATCAAGAAAATACTCCACAGACATGGCCACAGACCAGTTCAATGGAGGCAATTCTCCAAATGAGGCCCCCTCAACCCAGACGTGTCAAGTTGACACTAAAGCTATCCAGCACCACATTGAACTTGGAATCCTTCTGCCTCAGCCTCTCTCAAGTAGCTAGAAGGGCAGGCCTTTGCCAACAGGCCTGGCTCTGACTTCTTTTAGAATGTGTCCCTTCATTGTTAAGTGTCTATACTGGGGACCTGAGAATGGAAAGGCATTGTTCTGACTTTCAAGGGACCTACAAGCTCAGCAGGTAGAGAGAAAATGCCGTCCGTATTTGGGAGGAGATGGGAAGAAAGGGAAAACTCTCAGATGCTTGGAGTGTGGAGCTGAGTCTCATGCGGTAGGAAGGCCAGCTGTCTTAGTTTGTTCTTTATTGCTGTGACAAAACACTCTGACCAGTACCAACTTGGGGAGGAAAGGGTTTATTTGTCTTACATCTCCCAGGTCACACGCAGTTCATCAGGGAGCCCAAGGTAGGAACTCAGGGCAGGAACCTAGAGGCAGGAGCTGGAGCACAGGCCATGGAGGAATGCTGCTTACTGGCTTGTTCCTCTGGCCCCTGCTCAGCCTGCTTTCTTATGCAACACAGGCCCACCTGCCCAGGGGTGGCACCACCCACAGTGGGATGGGCCCTCCCACATCACTCATCAAGAAGATGTCCTTCAGACATGGCCACAGGCCAGTTCAATAGAGGCAATTTTTCGATTGAGACTCCCTCAACCCAGGTGTGTCAAGTTGACACTAAAGCTATCTAGCACAATTGATCCCTTGTCAACTTGACACACTAACACATCACTATTAAACCATAAGCTTTTTAATTTCTGTCTCTAAACTATGATGTTAACATTAATATCACAACATAAGACAGTACAACCTTAAAAACCCCACAGTCCTTAAAAAAATCTAAACTCTTAAAAGTCCATAGTCTCTTTTAAAAGTCTCAACTGTGGGTGGGCTTCTGTAAAATCCAAAACAAGTACTGTCTTATTTTAAAGGGAAGAATCGGGCACAACTAAGCAAAACCAAAGTCCAGCAAAGTAGCTCAAGGCTGGACATCTGGGATTTACTCACAATCTTCTGGCTCCAAAGGGTTCTGGCAGCTCTACTGCTCTGACTCTGCAGTCCACAGCACACTCAGCTTCATCTCGCAGACCCAGGTCAGCTCTATTCTACACCTGCCGCTGTTCTTGGTGGTTGTCCCATGGTCCCGGCATCTCCAAAAAGCTGGGGTCGCCACTGAAACTGAGGCTACACCTTTACCAATGGCCTCTTTTTGCCTCTTGGGGTGTAAAGCCTCAGTTTCTCTCCATGACTCTTTTAATCTTGGGGTCTTAACTGCAGCTGAAGCTGTACTTTCACCTATGGCCTTTCCTGGCCTTTCAGAGTGCTAAGCTTCAGCTGCTCTCTATGACCCCTTCACACTTTCAACACCAGAACCATGCAGGAGACTCTTACACATTACCAAGTCCTGCTTCCAGCTTGAAATAGAGGTGTGGGTCCCTTCTGTGTGCTGACCCTGAGGAAATACCTCCCAGAAGATTCCACCACAGTGATGCTGGTCTCTTGTTACTTACAGCTGATTTTTCAGCCCCAGCTAACCAGCATCAATTGTCCCAGTAAAGCAAAGGTTTTGCTTCAGGTTCTGGTCTTTTCTTAATCACAGCTGATTCTTCAGCCCCAGCCGACCAGAACCCACAGATTCTCAATCTAAAATCTCACGCAAACAGCCCTGATGGTCTCCGTTTTCCTTTGAAGCTTCACAAGCCAGGCCTCCATCGCCTACAGTTCTTTCAGCATAACTGTTCCAAGCTCCACTGTAACAAACTCTGAGTACACAATGGCTTTTCCAGCCCAAAGTTTCAAACACTTTCACGGTCCTCCCCAAAACACAAAGGTCAGGTCTGTCACAGCAATACCCCACTCCTGGTACCAATTACTGTTTTAGTTTGTTCTTTATTGCTGTGACAAAACACTCTGACCAGTACCAACTTGGGGAGGAAAGGGTTTATTTGTCTTACATCTCCCAGGTCACACGCAGTTCATCAGGGAGCCCAAGGTAGGAACTCAGGGCAGGAACCTAGAGGCAGGAGCTGGAGCACAGGCCATGGAGGAATGCTGCTTACTGGCTTGTTCCTCTGGCCCCTGCTCAGCCTGCTTTCTTATGCAACACAGGCCCACCTGCCCAGGGGTGGCACCACCCACAGTGGGATGGGCCCTCCCACATCACTCATCAAGAAGATGTCCTTCAGACATGGCCACAGGCCAGTTCAATAGAGGCAATTTTTCGATTGAGGCTCCCTCAACCCAGGTGTGTCAAGTTGACACTAAAGCTATCCAGCACACCGGCCAAAGTCAGGGAGTGTCTCCACAAAGGCACATTCATACTCATTGTGTAGACCAGGATGGTCTTGAACTCACAGAAATCTACCTGCCTCTGCCTCCTGAGTGCTGGGATCAAAGGTGTGTACCACCACGCCTAGCAACATCTTCAATCTTACAAACCCTGCAGTGACCTCTTTCAGTTGCTACAGCACAAGACTTAGGGATCATTTAAGTATTTGACTCTCATCGACATGCATTTTGCTTCTATTAAGAAGCCTGGACTTCTGTAAATTTCATCATTTGGACCTACTACTGCCCACTATTTTTCCTCAGAAAAGTTTTAATTTTAAGATTTGTACTTTACAGGGCTGGAGAGATGGCCCAGTGGTTAAGAGCACTAGCTGTTCTTACAGAGGACCAGGGTTTGGTTCCCCAGCACCTACATGGTGGCAAATAACATCTGTGACAGTTCCAGGGGATCTGATACTTTCTCTTCTCTCCTCCAGGACCATTGCATTCATGAGCACACTTACATATTGTAGGCAAAACACTCATACATATAAAGCATAAATTAAGATTTATATTTTACTTTTATTTGCGCATGTCTGTATGAGTATATACCATGTGTGTAGGTGCCCAAGGAGCTCAGACAAGATCCCCTGTTGGAGTTACAGGTAGGTATGAACAGCCAGATGTGGGGGCTCTGGTCCTCCGGAAGAATAGCAAGTGCTCTTAACTACTGAGCCATCTTTCCAGCCCCAGAAAAGTTTATTAGCTTTCACTTTACCAGAACAGGAAAGAATCTTTAATCTGTTTCTTTCCAAAGCTGGTAAACTCATTAGTCATTAATGCAAGAGCATCATCTCTTCATTTTTTTTCACACAAGGTTGGAAGAGGTGATGATTACCAGCTCCCAGTGTGGGCGTCTGCAAAAAATTGGTCCTTTCAGAATTCCATTAAAGTATTCGGACTAGGATGGATGTTCAAGGACATCACCCCCATCTTGTCTCATTTTTGCCAAAGATTTAAAACAACAACAACAACTAATGTAGTGGTCACACCTGTAACTCCAGAATTTTAGGGCTGAGGCAGGAGGATTGGGGGATTCTGCCAGCACCAGACCCTGACATTTACAGACAACAAACTAGCCCAGGGTGGTGGTGGAGGCCTTTAGTCCCAGCACTTGGGAGGCAGAGGCAAGTGGACCTCTGTGAGTTCGAGGCTAGCCTTGTCTACATAGCAAGTTCCAGGCCAACAGGGAAACCCTGTCTCAAAAATACAAACAAAAAACAAACAAAAAACCCCAACAACAAACATCGTATCATGACGTCAGCCTGAGATAGAGATCACCTGAGCAAGGAATTCATTTCAGGATGAAATAGTTGTCATCCAGCCCTCCCAATTGACAGAAGTGTACAGGGAAGACCCCTCTCCCTGGCCCCCACTGAGGTCTCCTGGTCTGAAGCTGCCACCCAGGTCTTGAGAGGCGGAGGTGGAAGCTGAGGACTCAGCACAAGCCGTTAGAGGAACTGACTCACGCTAGGCAGCATCTGATATACTTCCCCTCTCCTCCCACTCCACCTCCTCTAGCCCTCTCCTCTCTCTTTCTCTCTCATACTAGCTTACGCGTCAGTTCCTGAAAGGTGGGGACACTTCCTGACACTATGAAGTCACTCCAAAGGAGGCTAGACCCCATTCTGTACACCAGTCTAGAAGCGTGAAGACTGGGGTACCCAGGAAGCCCTGCGAGAGATCCTCCGGTGCCACCTCCCTACGCCTGGCAGCTCCCTGCTCCCTGGTCTCCACCTGACCATGTCTCTGGCTGAGACCATCAGCCTCTGGAATGAAGGGGTGCTGGCAGCCGACAAGAAGGACTGGAAGGGTGCTCTGGAGGTCTTCAGCGCAGTGCAGGACCCCCACTCCAGGATTTGCTTCAACATAGGCTGCATACACACCATCCTGGAAGACATGCCCGCGGCGGAGCAGGTGAGTGGAGGGGCCCCAGCGCTTCAGCGCCTCCTCTGAGCCTCTATAATTACAACGCTGCTGCCCTCTGGAAACCTCACCTCCAGCAGCCTTAGGAGAACAGAGCTCCTCAGGCCCAACCCCCAGAGGCCCCATCTAACTGCTGCAGGATGGCCTGGAAGCTGCCCTTCGTCAAAGCTCCTCCCTGCTTCTTCTGGCCACGCTGAGGTGGGGCTCTGCCCTTTCCAGGAACTCAGCTCCCATCCCCGCAGACCTTTCAACACCTGTGTGAAGACTTCCACAGATTTATTTTCTTTCACCACGTCCTCCAGGACACATGATCTATCTTTCCATCTTGCACCTGTTAGGTCTCTTACAACTTTCAAGAGTTTCTAAGTGCATCTGTTTTGCCTGCTCAGGCTACCATTCTGATCAATGATGTAGGGCACTCCTTTAAAGATTCTGAGGCTGACAGAAGAAAATTACACTGTGATTGATTCATGATGTCTATCAAGGGCATGGTGTGGGGTGTCCTATTTTAAAAATACTTTGTCCCTAATACGGGGCCCTCAATTTTTTTTAAAAATTGATTTGGGTGTGTGTGTGCAGCTGCATATGTGCACAGGTAGGCTACCTGTGTGGATGTGGAGATCAGAGGTTAGCTTCAAGCGTCGTTCCTCAAGGGAACTTTGGTTTGATTTTGGAACAGGGTCTCTCATTGGCCTAGAACTTGCCAAAAGGCCAGGCTGGGTGGTCAACAGCCCTAGGAATCCTCCATCTCCCCAGAGTTGGGATTAACAAGCATGTTTCAGCACACCAGGCTTTTTTTATCTGGATTCTGGGGATCACACTCGGGTCCTCATGCTTTGGGAGCCATCTCCCCAGCCCCTACCACTCTTAAAGAACCAGTTTACCCCAATCATCCTCTGATCAGCAGGTGAGCAAATGCTTGGCACATCCTGACAGGAGGAGAGAGACAAGAGACTGGGTCAGCAGAGAATGGACAGGGTTCTCTGGCTAGAGGGAGGACTGGCTCTGCCTCCCCTCAGGGGCCTGCTCCCTCACCTCTCTCAGAGCCTGGGAGACAAAGTGCACTTTGAGAGAAGAAGCTTCAAGGAGGCAGCTAGCCTGATGTCTAGGTGCAGCTCTGCCACAGGCTCTGTAGTTCTTACCTTGGCCTAGACCTGGTACTTTGGCCAAGCTGCTCCACAAACCTCTACACATACTCTGCTCACTGGTTCCTGGTCTCACTGGTCTAGATTTTTCCTCAAATTCTTCTGCTGCAGGATCTCTCCTCTCATCCCCTCTACCCTTGTTTTCCTGTTTGAGCCCCATTCTAATAGTATTTTATATGTATCCTTATTTGTTATTATCTTAGTGATATAATATATAATAAATTTCAATCATAAACAAATATAATGACATAGATTTTAACTATAGCACTTACATTTTAGCTAATTTTATAATTTTGATCCTACCTGTAACTGTGAAGGACAGATAGCAATATCCCCATTTTACAGAGGAGAAAATCAAGATTCTAGAGCTTAGGTAACTTGCCACACGAGGAAGTTCAAGGTGTCTGCATCTTAGGCCAACTGTTACTCTGAAGAGCTAAACCATTCCCACTCACTGGCTTACCTCTCCCTGGGGCTCCTCTCCCCCGTCACTGTCTGATTCAAAGATCATGTATGAACCCTTCTCTTTGCAGGCCTTCACTAAAAGCATCAACCGAGACAAGCACTTGGCAGTGGCCTACTTCCAGCGAGGGATGCTCTACTACCAAATGGAGAAGTAAGTGCTCCAGGGCTGCCCATGCTGGAGGGGGGTGGAGGATGATGAGAAGCCCAGTGGGTCTTGGTGCTGTTAGAACTGTCTTCAATAAGAACCCTCCAGCCTCTGTAGACAGGAAACCTGGACAGCTCTTCCTGGGAAGTTATGTAAGAAATAGTATGCAAGGTAGAGACTTGTGGAGAGGGAAGGCAAGGCTGACATCATTGTAAGTCATCTGGGGCACATGTATAATGAACCTAGAAACTACCATGGGCCTGTTATTGAGCTGCTGGGCTCCCCACTAGTGTCCCCACTGAGGACACTCACTGTGCTTCCCTATGAGGGACTGAGCAATCCCAAAATGAGGGTCACCATGAAACCAAATCAAAACCTGGCTTCATCCCTGCCAAGTATGTTTGCAAAGCCCAGTTTTAAACCATTCAGTGAAATATGACCAGCCACAAAAATGAGAATACAAAGCGTTAACAATAATACAGTTAAAACAGACAATGTATAAGACATGTGTTAAAGTAGAAAAAGTTTACAGTTAATGTCAAAATTTTAGAAATGACTTCAGAACACTGTGTATAGCACAATCCCATTTGGTGCACAGGCTGAAGACTTGAGGCCATCAGCCAAAATACCATTCTAGTTCTTTCTGGATGGTGGGATGATAGGGAAGTTCGTTTCCTTCTATTATACTGTGTGTTTTGGGCTGTTTACAATCAATATGAAAAAGTAAAAAGACAAAAAAATACAAAATGACAGTTAATCTCGATTCCTATCCTCCTTTCAAATGTCCAAAGAACAATCATATAAATAACAAAGGGAAATAGTCCAAATGTGATTTCAAATGTTCTGAGTAACAGCAAACTGACTATGGAAATTTTCCATCTGTGTGCACCAGTCCTAGGGAAGACGAATTTGTCTAAGATCATTGAAGAACTTTCCAACGGTGAAACTGGTCCAGGCATGATGGGGTAGGGGTGCAAGTGGGTGGGGCACTGAAAGGGGCATGAGAGATAGGCTGTAGAGGATGCCCTGCATAGAGAGGGAGCTGCATTGGTCCTGTGGCACTTTGGAAGGCTTTGATCTGAAGGTTTGGTTAGCCTTTAAAGCCCATGTGCTCAGTTGTTGCTAGGGGCAACCACCAGCCACGGAGAGAACTTCAAAGATGTAGATGTGGTCAACTAATTACCTGAAAGAGTAAGAGTAAAATCAAAGTCTTCCCAGAAGAAAAGCCACAGGCACAGAGAGAAAGAGAGAAGGGGAGAGAGAGAGAGAGAGAGAGAGAGAGAGAGAGAGAGAGAGAGAGAGAGAGAGAGAGAGAGAGGAGAGAAAGAGGAACCTGGGATTGAGAGAAGATGGAGGTGGCTGCCTCTATGAGCACTGTGGCTGGCTTGCTTCTTAGCATCCTCTTCTCATTCCCTTAGGCATCCAGCATCTTCTGTACATGTACAGACTATACAGAGGCCGAGCACAAGCCCCTAGCACATTTTAATCTCAAAATACAAGCTCTAAGCCCTCCCCCTTTAATTAGCTCCAATAACCTATAAAGAGAGGTACTAGCAAAGAGGACTGGCCTACAGAAAGACTTCCCACATGAAAATGTCTGAAAATTCCAGAGCCTAAAAGGCTAAGATTTCAAATGACTTAGACTGTAGTCCCAGCACTTGGGAACTGGAGTCAGGAGAATCAGGAATTCAAGGTCATCCTTAGTTTACATAGCAAGTTCCAGGCCAGCAGTTCAGCTTTTGCTAACATGAAGCCTTGTTTCAAAAATGAGAGAGAGAGAGAGAGAGAGAGAGAGAGAGAGAGAGAGAGAGAAAATAAGACCTGGGACTCAATCTGCTTGATAATGGCTAAATCTGAGAAAAACATTGTACCAAATTTAATCTTTAGTTCTACAACTTTCTTATGAGGAAGTAAGTGAGGCATAATCTCAAATTCAAACTGTCTCCTTTCTTTTGCCCATTCCCAGGGTGGTGCTATCACTCACACATTCCAGTCCCAACCCTTTTCCCTTATATGACCTTAGAAGATATTGTTAAATAGCAAAATGTAGGCGCTCCCTCCCCAGAAGGAGTATGTGACACATAAGTTCACATACTTTTCATGCACAATTTCAAGGGGGACTTGGATATGGAAATCTATTGATGAACTTTAAGGTCCATTTCTGGGCAAGTCCATCTTAGCCCACAGTACTCTCCTCCATTTGTAAGCACCAGCTACTAAATATGTGTCCAGGATCTACTCAGATTGTCCCCCACCCTACACTTTGTCAGGGTGACCTCTGAAATCTACTTCTTTCTTGTCATTTCCTCTGGTACTGCCCTAGTTCAGATACCAGGACACCAGGTCACCAGGACAACTATGTTCACTTCCAACTGGGTTTCCCAGGCACCAGTCCTGTTCCCTTCATTCATATTTCAGAGTGACTTTTTTAAAAAAGCAATTCCAATGATGTGCTTAGAACTTCCATGTCTTCTTGTTCCTGTGGTGTAAGGGCTGAGTGCCCCTGCCTGGGCCTCTGTGGTCCAGTTGAGCCTGGCCCCTGACCTTCCACGTGCCTTTGCCCCAACCACACTAAACTCCTTGGCTTCCTTTTATGGCACCCATCCATGTATGGCAGATATTTACTTATAGTTGTTTCCACCACTATTCTATAAGGTTTTGTTCTATTTATTTATTTATTTACTTATTTATTTGGATCTTTTTGAGACAGAGTCTCCTGTAACCCCAGCTGGCCTGGAACTCACTGTGTAGACCAGGCTGGCCTTGAACTCACAGAGATCTGCCTGCCTCTGCTTCCCAGGTGCTGGGATCAAAGGCATGCGCCACCACGCCCGGCTTATTTATTTATTTATTTATTTATTTATTTACTTATTTACTTATTTATTTATTATGTATGTGTGTACACGTGTGAGTGCATTTGTCTATTGGTACCCATGCACATATACGTACATGCATATGGAGGCCAGAGGTTGACATCAGATGTCTTCCTCAATCACTTTCCACTTTGTTTCTTGAAACAGAGTCACTCTCTGAACCTGGAGCTCACCAATCTGCTCATCTGACTGACCAGCAAGCACCCAGGATCTGCCTGTCTCCACTTCCCCAGATCTGGGATTACAGGCACACACTGCATGCCTGGCTTTTTTTATGTGGGTGCTTGGAATCTAAACTCAGATCCTCATGCTGAAGCAGCAAGTGCTTTTCCTTCCCCTCCCCTCCCCTCCCTTCTCTCTTTTCTCCCCTGCCCTCCCCTCCCTTTCCCTTTCCTCTTCTCTTTTCTCTTTTTTGGCTCATTTGTGACAAAGTTTCATGTAGCTGAAGCTGGCCTCGAATTCCTGATCTTCCTACTTCTACTTACCAAGTACTAGGATTACAGATGTGCACCATGCCCTGCTCCCTCTGTGAGTTTCTTAAAAGAAGAAAGCTTTACAAACTCAGGTTTCTTGAATTGATTAAATGAAAGTGAGCAAGTGTCTGCTTCAAGGAGCTTGTCGATTAAAAGAGGGAAGTAAGTCACTAGCACCAGTAATGATGACACAGGGCAGAGTTGGGCAAATGCTGTGAGCAGGTTTGAGATAAATGCAGGGGATCCAGAGAGGTGACTTGGTGCTGAGCCGGCTGGGCATGCCCTCCCACAGCTGACAGGCTCGTTCAGCGTGGCCATGTCAGGGACAGTGCTTTCCTCTACTTTCCCCACTTTCCTGGGATGCAGTGTTGCTTTCTTGTCCTAAGTTCCAGCACAACAAAATCAGAGGCATTTCCCAAGTGGCAGCCAGTGGTGTCTCAGGGGTAACCTTTCCCTTTCCACCAAGCCAGCTCACTTCTCTGTCCCCAGCCTTTATCCCAAAGAACTGTAAGTTGTCTTTCACTCTGTGTGCCTTTTGAATCTTAGGACTATGGAAATAAAAGCAAGGTGAGACTATCAGAAGATGGAGCTGGCTTCAAAAGGACAGCCAGGAGGCCTCCCTTCTGAGCTGAAGAGGGGAGGAAGGGGCCCTCTGCATACTCATATTGAGGTGTTGCCTGTTGCAGCTCCTTCCTCTTACTGGGACTCCATAAGGGGAGACTGTGGGTGTGAACTGTGGGTGTGAACTGTGGAATTCTAGACTGATGGGTGTTGGTAGCCAAGGGACAGGCAGCAGTTTCTGTGGTTACTAAGGAACCTTTGCAGGGCCTATTATTGAAATGAGACAAGCCCACTACAGCTGGGAGCCTGCCTGTCCTGGTGTGGCTGCTCCCTGGCAGGCCTAGGAAAGCTGCCAGATGGCCCAGAAGAGAACTTTGAAGGAGGGTCAGAAAGACACAGGGGTGTGTCTGTGGCCCCAGAAGGGCTGAACCTAGTTCAGACGTCTCATGAGAACTGATGCTATTCAGACCTGTGCAGAGGGACCCAGAGGCATGTCAAAGCCGAGTCCTTGGCATGGGTACAGCTGAGGTCCTCAGGTCCAGGAGTGAAGAATGAAGCTGCAATAGGGTGTGTCAGGGCTGCCAGGCAGGTAACTGCACAAAAAGACAAGTTTAAAAACAGAAATTATGGCTGGGGATGTGGCTCAGTTGGTAGAGTGCTTGCCTAGCATGCAGGAAGCCTTGGGTTTTCTTGACTTCCAGCTCCGCATAAACTGGGCACAGTTCAGGACTCAGGAGGTGGAGGCAGGAGGATCAGTAGTTCAAGGTCATCCTAGGTTCCATATCAAGTTCAAGGCCAGCCTGGGATACAGGAGATCCTGTCTCAAAAAATAAACATGAACAATGGGGAAAAAAAAAGACATTAGCAGGGTTCCCTCCACCGGACTTTTTTTTCACACAAAGCATGCACTCTGAATAACCTGTCAGTTTTTTTCTCTCTTCTTCTCACTGGGGATGTCTTGATGAGGCAGAGAATTACAAGGAGGATTTTGCTAAGTCCTACAGTGCTAGGTAGACCCAGGGCATCCCTACAACTGAAATCCACCTGCTCCTGTAGCTCAGCAGGGAGCAAGGCACATTCGTAGGTTAGTGCTGATGGCACTTAAATGTGCCCTCTGAGACTTTCCCTGCTCCCAAACAGGCTGTGGAACACAGTGGAAATTGCCCTGTCAGGGAACAGGACACCTGCACTTCCACCTGCCCCCTCCTTGGCTCAGGGAAACAGCCAACCACACAGCCTGTGGGTTTACAGAGACGAACCCATGAGGCCTAGCTTTTGCCCCTTCACATGATGGCCTGAGGGATGTATAGGAATGACGTTTCCCTCTTTCCCAAAGGGTGTAGGGGAGGCAGGAGGCCTACCAAACTATGAGCTAAACTGGCTGCAACAGAAGCCCTGGGAGAAGGCTGTGGGCAGGAGCAGGATGTCCGCAACTGTGATAAGGCACCCCTGGGATGTGCCAAGCAGAGCTGACTTTGAGTATGTGTGAAAGACTTCTTTGAATCAGTTCTGAGATGTCTCAGGGATGAAGGATGGGCAGGTGTGGGTCTGCTTAGAGCTTTCAAGCGAGAACAAGAGCCATGGTTGAAGGTGATCATTCAGGTCATCAGAAAGGCAGGAGCTGGATATACAGCCCACAAAGAAGAAAATCCATGTGACTATTACAGACTGGGGGCCTCTGCCAGACTCTGATGGATAGCCCCAGAGCACAAAGTCATTCCCACTCTAGAGAATCCTTGGGCTCAGGGTTGGTGAAAACCTAGAAGAGGTCAAAAGAAATGGAGGGGCTTCTTCTCCCAGTGGGATGGATGGAGAAGGGAAAAGCAGGGATGTTTTGTATTCTGCATTTCTTCCCCCATGCCCTGGACTGGTTTACTTCTCCCTCTGTCCTGCAGATATGATTTAGCTATCAAAGACCTTAAAGAGGCTTTGACTCAACTTCGAGGGAACCAGCTGATTGACTACAAGATCCTGGGGCTGCAGTTCAAGCTGTTTGCCTGTGAGGTAAGGAGAACAGGGATGGCCTGGGCAGACATTTAAAATGCACAGTGGTCTGCAGGGGCTTGCCAAAGTCATGTTGACTCCTGTGCCTCAAGGCTTAGATTTTCTGTTAAGAAAGCATTCAGATGACCTGGGGATATAGTTCAGGAGTGAGATGCTTGCCTGGCATGCGTGAGGCCCAGGGCTTGATTTCAACACTGAAGAAGAAAGGAAAGGGAGAACAAGAAGAACCAAAAGGGAAAGGGATGGAAAGGAAGGGAAAAGGAGGAAAAGGAAAGGGAAGGGGAAGGAAACGAGAAGGGCGGAAGAGGAAAGGGGAAGGGAAAAGAAAGCAAAGGGAGACGGTGACTTCAGGCTCCTTGTAAGGTACTTAGTTACCCGAATGTGCATTTTATTAATATCAGACTCAGAAACCACAGAAAAGTGAGCCCTCTGGGCTCTCTGAAGAGACCAAACAGGAGTATGTTGACTTGGAAGAATATTCACAGCAATTTGCATGTTCTATTTAGCAATTCAGGTCCTTGGGCTATTTGCTTAACATTAAACTAGCAAATCCAAAATCATGGGTCCGTGAGGCACATGCTATGAGCATGCTCACTTCCCAGCGGAATGTATCATTCCTACTAATGATCCTCTTCATGGACTTAGTTAAGGGGGAAGGGGTCTCTTTTGATGCAAATCTGTCAAAGAACAGCTCAGAGCACACATTTAGGAGATGTTCTCCATAGAAGGACAACTTGTTTTCTGTATTACTAAAAAGGACTGACTTTGACTTCTTGTGTTTATGCCTCCCCCCACCCCAAATAACTTTCCCCACCCCCACCTCCAAATATACACCAGTAGCTTTAAAAAAATTCAAATCCCAGCAAATGTCATGGATCTTTATTTAGAATTGTGGAACAAATGTCCCTTTGCTTTAGTGTCTCAGGCACAAGAAGTCAAGTGTTCCCAGGATTGCTCAGAGCTAAAAGTAAAAATAGGTTCCATAGTGACCCTGAGTCCCTGGAGACTTGTGGCCCATTCTGCCCTACTGCTAACTATATTACTAAAAAGGACAGGCATGATGGGACTTTGCCATGGGAACTGATCGCCGTAAGACTAGCTTCTGGAGGACAGTTGCTTAACTTTGGCGCTCTAGATAAGTTGGAGCAAACAATTCTTTATTTTTTAAAAATTTTAAGTTTGTGTGTGTGTGTGTGTCTGTGTGTCTGTGTGTGTGCATGCGTGCCTGAGTGAGTTTATGTGTACCACATGCATGTAGGAGCCCATAGAGATCAGAAGAGGGTGTTGGATCCCCTAGAACTGGAATTACAAATAGCTGTGAGTGCTGGGAACTGAACCCAGGTCCTTTTCAAGAACAACCAGTGCTCTTAACCACCAAGCCATTTCTTTAGTCTCAAACAATTGTTTACTGCAGGGCTGTTTTTTGACTTGTGAAGTTTTTGGCCATATCCCTGGCTTCTACCCACCGGGGTGCCAGGAGCACCCACCCTTCATTGTGATGATCAAAAGTGTCTCCACACATGGCCAGTTATTCCACTGAGGACTACTCACACATATAAAGGGTCAGGGAAGCAAACTTCTAGAAAAGGGAGTGTGCCTCTGTGGCAGCAAAGCAGACTCCACAGAGGGAATGTCCTCCTGGTAGTTGGGGTTGAAATGACCCTGGGGACAGGAAATCAGTCATATCCCTACTTGCACTTGAGAGGAGGAATCTCAAGATTCTTCTAGTCAGTAAGCCATGAGTTGACTGAGAAGCAAATAAGAAGTCTAAAAACACTGTAGATTCTTTTCTGTCCTTGTACGAGGCCATAGATAAGTTAGGGCAGCCAGATATGCAGATGCGTCTCAGCTTAGGAAGACAGGTCCTGTCCAAACAAATTTCTCTCTCTCTCTCTCTCTCTCTCTCTCTCTCTCTCTCTCTCTCTCTCTCTCTCTCTCAACAGGGTTTCATGTACCCTAGGCTAGCCTTGTACTCATTGTGTAGCTGAGGATTACCTTGAAGACCTTGAACTTCTGATTTTTCTGCCTCTTCCTCCACAGTGCTGGGATTATAGGTGTGTACTACCACACCCCTTTTATGCGGTATTGAGACTGAATCCAGGACTTTGTCAGTGCTGGTCAAGCACTCTACCAACTGAGCTACATCCCAGCCTCGGATAAGCCCATCTTAAGTTAAAAGTTACCCTAAGTTGAAAATGCATTTAGCCCATCTATGGTGCTGCACGTCATTGTTTTAAGACATAGCACACTGGAGTGTCACTTGCTTTCCCTTGTGATTGTGTGGCTGACTAGGAGGCACTGCCACTGCCCAAACTGCAAGAGATGTTGTAGTGTGTGTCACTAGCCTGGGAAAAGATCAAAATGAAAACTTTGAGGTGCTCTTTCTACTGAATGTATTTCTCTTTTGTACCACTGCTGAGTCAAAAAAATCCTGAGTCCTTGTGGTTAGAGAGATGACTCAGTGGACAAAGGTGCTTGTTGTCAAGACTGACCACCTAAGTTCAATCCCTGGGACCAATATGGTGGAAGGAAAGAGCTGACTCCTCCAAGTTGTCCTCTGACCTCCACAAGCATGGTGTGGCTTTCACATACAAAGTAAATAAATATATATTAAAAAAAAAAGAATCCTGAGGCTAACCATTCTAAATCAGATATCATCCATCTGCAGAAGACACCAGATCATTGGGAGTCCAGAGCTTCACTTCTGGGCTTGGCCTTGGCTCCCATCACCAATGCTAGCCACTAACTCAGGGAAACAGCAATCCTGCCACCCAGGCCTGTTTGGCACTATAGAATCGCCTGTTGGCAGGTCTCCATTCTTGCAGAACTGCTTTGTTCTGCAAGCCACCAATGTATTGTCATGACAGAGCAGCTGGTGTTCCCAAAGCACATTACTCAGGAGAGTCAGGACAGAGCATCAGTGTCCCTCAGAACTCAACTTCAAATGCCAAACCTCTGCTTCCGTACTATCCTCTTTTTAACGTTTTTTTTTTTTTTAATCTTGCTAATGCATCCAAAAGCTTACTTGATTCTGTGTGTACATTATGTATCAAGATAATAAAGCAAACACTGATGAACTTACAACCCAACTAAAGACCCGGAAAATTCTGCCAAGTGTTATATGTGCCATTCCATCCCCACTGTAGCAAAAGTGCTCCCCTGAGCTCTGTGTATACCAAGTCTCTTTCTAGCTTTGTTAGACTTTGACCATGGAGTTGTCTCATGCACGCTTCTGTGTTATAGTCTTGCTATTCATGTGGTGTGGGTCAGGTTCTATTGATACTGGTGCAGGACAATGCATCTAGAAACTTCTCCCACCCTGCACCAGCCTAGACTCAATGGCAGGAGCTGGACTTATAGACAAACACACACATTCATTTTCTTCCCAGCTCTGTTTCTGCCTTCTCATGGGGCCCTGGGCAAGTTCCTCTTCTCTATAGTAAAACAACACACTAGTTTCTGTCCCTTCCTGACCTAGGTGACTGTTAGAAGAATGCACACTGTACTGCCTTTATGCATTATAGAATGTTTTCTTTTTTAATTATTTTATTTTATTTTATGTGTATGAATGTTTTGCCTGTATGTAAGTGCACCCTTGTCATGAAATGCCTGCGGAGGCCAGAAGAGGATGTCAGATCCCCTGGAACTGGAGTTATGGATGGTTGTTACCTACCATGTGGGTGCTGGGAACTGAACCTAGGTCCTCTGCAAGTACAGCCAGTGCTCTCAACTGCTGAGCCATCTCTCTGGCCCCTAGAATGTTTTCTTAACACAGTGAGCTGGGAAAGGGGAGTATGTCATCAGGCAGCATTCCCTGTGTGGACATGTGAGCCCTTCTCTGGTGCTGTTTGGAGTCCTTTCATATTTTGTGTGGCCTGTCTTTACTAGGTGTTGTATAATATCGCTTTCATGCATGCCAAGAAGGAGGAATGGAAAAAGGCTGAAGAGCAGTTATCTTTGGCAACAAACATGAAGTCAGAGCCCAGGCATTCCAAAATTGACAAGGCCATGGAGAGCATCTGGGTGAGTACATTGGTGGTAGACAGTGTTCCCCTGCAATTCTATCTGTTGCCAAGGACACCACAATGGGGAGTATTTCCTTTGATGGCTGTGCCTGTTGATGCTCTCTCAGCATCACTGCATCCTCAGTCTGGGTTGAGAAGCCATGTCCTAGAAAACAGGAGAGCAGAGCCCCTGGATCCCTGGAAGTGGGGCCCTGGGCAGTGCCTGCAGTCAGGATGTTGGGGGTTTCTTGCTGCTGGGCAGTCTTCAAACACCACGAGGACAGAAACTATGTTTGCTTGTTCACCTTTGAGTCCCCACTGCCTGACACAGTGCCAGGCACAGCATGGCTCCCTACAAAAATATATTAATTATATGAAAGAATGTTGAAAATTATGATTCATGCCAGGCATGGTGGCACAAGCCTTTAATCCCAACACTTGGGAGGCAGAGGCAGGCAGATCTCTGTGAGTTCAAGGCCAACCTGGTCTACATAGTGAGTTCCAGGCCAACTGGGGCTGCAGAGAGATCCTGTCTCAAAAAGAACAAAAAAAAAATAGGAAGAAAATTATTATTCATAGTTTGATTACATTTGGGAACAAAGGAGTTTTTTTCTTTTTGGTTTTCTTTTTGAGACAGGGTCTCCTTGTATCCTCAACTGGCCTAGAACTCACCATGTAGACCAGGCTGACCTCGAACTCACAGAGATCTGCCTGTCTCTGCCTCCCAAGTGTTGAGTTTAAAGGCATGTGCCACCATGCTCAGAAGGTTTTCCTTTTTTGATATATAAAAAATATTTAAATTGTGTGTGTGTGTGTATGTGTGTGTGTGTGTGTATCTTTGTGTGGGAATGTATACCTGAGTCCAGGTGCCCATAGCATCCAGAAGAGGGCATGGGACCCCCTGGAGCTAGAGTTACAGGCAATTGTGTCCTAGCACATGGGTGCGGGAAACTGACCTTGGGTCCTTTGAAAGAGTAGAAAGTGCTCTTAACCTCTGAGTCATCTCTCCAGCCCCCCAATAGTGGTTTTAAATAAGATGCCTTCAAACACCAAGAAGAAGACTCAACTTATTGTATGTCTGTCTGTGTGAGCAATGCCAGCCCCAAGAGAGGACTGTCATAACGCTTGAGTGGGCCCTGGGTCACCCTTTTGGTTGTGCTCTCTATGCTGGCAGAAACCCCGAGGCACCACACAGAGTGGGAAGACAGGCAGTGCCACTAGAAAAGAGGGTGCTGGGTAAATAACATCAGTAAAAAGTGATGCTAAGACCAACTGCTCCTGCCTTAGCATTCTGGATTAATAGGTGCTTACCGAGTTAGAAAAAGCACTTTTACCAGTGGTCCATGTGATGATGAAAGCAGGAATGGTATCTCACTCCCATTTTCAGATGAGGATATACAGTCATGAGAGATGTAAATATGCTTTGATCAACTAACGAACCACATATTCAACAATGGCTGAAGCACTGAGGTTGTGTAAGCACACCATGCTGTTCACATGGTAACAAAATCACCTAACACCACATTTCTCAGAATGAACCAATATTGTTGAGTGACACATGACTATTCTATTACAGAAGCAGAAGCTGTTCGAGCCAGTGGTGATCCCTGTGGGTAGGCTGTTCCGGCCCAATGAGAGACAGGTAGCTCAGCTGGCCAAGAAGGATTATCTAGGCAAGGCTACGGTAGGTGGAACTGCTCATCTTCTGGCATCTCTTGTGACCTGGACTGTGTGGGGCCAGGTGGAAGGGATTTGAAAAGATATGCCTTCTCCTGTGGCTCACAAGGATGGCAGAGGCTTGCTGACAGTGGGGAATGAACACTTGCAGTTTATTTTCTCCAGGCCCCTCTTTATTACTTACTTTTTTGTTGCTGTGATTAAACACTATGACCAAAGCAATTTATAGAAGGAAGAGTTTATTGGGCTTATGGTTCCAGAGGGATGAGTTTATCATGGCAGGGAGGCCTTGCAGGAGGCAGCTGGAGCAGAGAGCTGAGCACTCGCATCCTCAGGCAGGCACAGGAAGCAGAGAAACAAGAAACTGAAAGAGGAGCATGGCTACAATCACACAAAGCTAGCCCACAGTCATGTGCTTCCTCCAGTATGGCCAGCTTCCTGAAGCTTCTGTGACCCTCCCAAAACAGTGCCACTAACTGACCAAGTGTTCAAATACTTGGAGCCTATGGAGGACACCTCATTCTAACTACTGCACCCTCTCATTTCTTCCATCAGCCTGACCTTGTTAGTAAGTCCTGAGCTTACTCTCAGGATTCTGAGTCTTGGGACTGAGGCAAAGGAGAAAAGATGCAGCTAGAAGGCGCTCACTGAAAGTGGAGAGGATGATGGGGGAGAGAAGCAGCAGGAGATACCCTTGGCTTAGTGCTCCCTGTAGTCCACTTCTGGCTTCTGGGGAATCTCATCCCATTTCTACAGCCCTATGTCTAGACTGCTTCAGCTGGACTTCTCTGAGCCCAGGCTTTAAATTCTGTCAGGCATGTTTTGAAGTGAGTCAGCAGTCTCTTCTCCAAACTGCATTTGATTTTGACACATTTTTAAATGAACTAAAATTGTCCAGTGGCTGGGTAACTAGATCTAGTACAATCTCAGAGGCCAAGAGAACATGGAAATACCCCAAATAGCCATCAATGCATGAATGCATAAATAAAATGTTATATATTCACACAACAGACTATTACTCAGTCACAAAAGGAACATAAGGGGCTGGAGAGATGGCTCAGTGGTTAAGAGAACTGGTTGCTTTAGCAGAGGACCCAAGTTCAAATCCCAGCACCACATGGTGGCTAACAACCATCTGTAGCTCCAGTTCCAGGGGATTCAATGCCCTCTTCTGATCTCTGTGGGTATTGCACAACATGGTGCACTCACATACACGAAGGCAATACACTCATACACATAAAATAAAAATAAATAATTTTTTTGAGGGGGTCTTTTTGAGACAGGGTCTCCCTGTAGCCCCAGCTGTCCTGGAACTCACTATGTAGACCAGGCTGGCCTTGAACTCACAGAGATCCGCCTGCCTCTGCCTCCAAGTGCTGGGATCAAAGGCGTGTGCCACCATGCCCAGCTGAAACAAAATATTTTTTAAATAGTAAAAAACCAAAAGAAATGTAGCATGAATGACACTTGAAAGCTGTATGCTAAGTGTAAGAAACCAGACACAAAAGGTACATGCTGGGACTGGGGAGATGATACCGTTAAAGCACTTGCTATAAACATGAGGTCGGGAGTTAGGATCCCCAGAATTCATGTAATTGCCTGGTGGACATGACGGCCTTCCTGTAATTCCAGCCTCAGAAGGCAGACTGGGATCCCCAGAGCAAGCTGGCTATCAAGACTAGCCATATTAGTGAGATTTTGCCTTAATAAGGTGAAAGAGTAAAGGGAGATGACATCAACCTCGACCTCCACATGCACATGCACATGCAAATGCACACACACACATGCCCACACATGCAATACACACACACATACACACACACACACACAAACCCCACATGAAAAATGGAAAAAAGGAAAAACAGATACATGCTTTGCAATTCCAGTCTTTGAGCCGGGTGTGGTGGTGCACGCCTTTAATCCCAGCATTCGGGAGGCAGGAGCAGGTGGATCTCTGTGAGTTCAAGGCCAGCCTGGTCTACACAGTGAGTTCCAGAACAGCTGGGGGTACAGGGAGACCCTGTCTCAAAAAGACAAAAACCAAAAACCAAAATAATTCCAGTCTTTGAATGGGTAAATCCACTGAGATAGAACAAAAACTTGTGTTACCAGGTCCTAAGAACTGGCACCTGTAAATTATTTAATAGATCCAGCATTTTGTTTTGGGGTGATTAAAATGTTTTGGAACTAGAAAACATTGGGCATGTACCAAATGCCACTGAACTTTCACTTAAAATGGTTAATTTGATGGTATATGTGTTGCACATCAATTTTTTTTTTTCTAAAAGAGATAGTGAGCCTGGGTCTCTGGTGGCACTACTTTCTTTGGTTGAGAGTTCTAATCCAGAGAGGCAGCAATCTAGCCTCTATCCAGCTTCATAATGGGCTCAAGCGGCAATGGATCTGTGGTGTGAGAAAGGAGGCGGTCTGGGGAGAACACAGAGGATGGACAAACAGAGCTGGCAGAAACCTCACTCCATCCTGGTTTTGGTTTCAGGTTGTGGCGTCTGTGGTACATCAAGACAACTTCTCTGGGTTTGCCCCTCTTCAGCCACAGGTGAGCCAGCCTATCTCCAATGGATATAGGTCTCCAGATCTATGGATGTAGGTCTCCAGATATATCTGGGAAACAGTCCCTGAGGAGAGGAGCTGGGCTGACATATTGATTGTAAGAGCTCCTTCAGCCATCCCTCAGCACAGCTGAGGTGTCTGCCCACCATTCTCAGTCTCAGTTTGCATGACTGGTAGAGAACATGGTCATGTTAGCTCAGTCTCATACCCTCTGGAGGCCAGCTCACCAGCCTCTCCCAAATCTCAGTCCTCTGTTCTCCAAGTTCTAAGAGATCTGTTGATCATCTCATGAAGTCTTGACCTTTGTCTCAGAAAATTGAGATGCCAGCTCTGGAAGCTTCGTAATGAAACCTCTTTTTTGGCTCGAGGGTGAGTAGGGAATCCTGGGTCTTGGGGGTCCTGGGCTCTCTGGACTCTATCCATTTATTCCTGTACAAGGGATTCAGAGACAGCTATTTCTCAGCCCAAGCTGAGCTCAGAGAGATTTTTCTCAATGATCTGAGACAGTAGGTTCAGAGATGAAGACAAAGCTTGTAACAGGAAGAGGGTGAGGCGGATTAAGGAGAACTCAAGCTGTGATGTGTCATGATGATGGGCAAGAACAGTGGTCAGCACTGGCAGAGAGAGTTCCCTGAACATGGTTGCCTCCCCTGCCTTTTCCATATACCCTGCATACTCCCCAGGATAACACTGACCACCCAGCTTGGGTAGGGTGACCACTACCTGACCATAATGTGACTAGGGCTGGAACCATGGGAGAGGATGAGCACAGGGAGATATGAGGGCCAGCATCTAGATTCCTTGACAACTTTCTTTATGGTAAAGTTGAAGAAAGCCTAGCCAAAGTCCCTTGGGTTTCAACACAGCTAGGCGACTACAAGGACAGAAAGACCCAGATAACCAGACTCCGTGATATTCAATGGGAACACACATTGGAAGGAGATTCTTATCTGTTAGTGGATGCTGAGTTGATTTTAAGTATCCAGAAAAGTCACATGCCATGGCAAACATAATTATTGAACATAGCTTTCAGAAACTGTACTGGAAAAGGAACAGAGCTCAAGGTCAAAAAGCCTTCCCATGATATCACATTGTTCTGTGACAGTTAACCTCCTCCGTAAACCAGCTCTGGGTCAAGTGTGGTGAAACCCATGCCCAGAGAGCTGGAGGGGCTGCTTAGTCCTGGGCAATGTGCCTTTTCCCCAAAGAATGCTCCCATTAGCTAGAATGAAGCCTTTGTATTCTAATCTGGAAGAATGCTCGAATTACCATTAATAGCTTGTTCGCTCCCTTTCTTCCATTGTCTTCCCCTTCTCTTTTTTTTTCTGAATGTTCCACAGGCAGCAGAGCCTCCACCCAGACCCAAGACTCCAGAGATCTTCAGGTAAGTTAGATTTAGTTCCACGTGCAGAATGCATATGTTCTAAGCTTGAGCTGATAGAAGGAAAATTATGAAGAAGGTGAAGCTGGGGTCAGCTCTAAATCCTGTGTAATCCTGTCAGGATCCTTCTGTTTACAAGATTAGAACCAAATGATGTAGTTGGGATGGGAGTCTTGACTGTGGTGTGGCTGACCACTAGGGCATGGCTGCAACACCATGCTGTCCCAATGGACACAGTCACCCATAGAATGGGAGGTCTTTGGCGCACAGCAGTGTTCTATGGAACATGGACCCAGGTCAGAGGTCAGAGGTCAGTTTTATATTGACTGCAGGCCCTTTCCTATGTGGGTGCCTTCACTGGTTTCTGAAGGGGAAGGCCTCACGAAAAGGAAGCCATTCTGTAAGCTGAGAAGCAAAGAGTGATGTAACCTCAGCTTTCTTAAGAGCTCCTTCTGAGGAACAAGGCAAGCCTAGTTCCCCTTACCAGCGAAGGGGGTTAGACAACGTGAAAAAAGTACAGTGACCCCCCCCAAAGTGAAGGGGCCAGATGAGCTCATTTCCAAGCTGTCTGAAGCCTAGGGAGTCTGAATTTCCACACATCAGTGCTCAAAGACTTTGGAAACAAAAGGCAGTGCTTAGAGGGGGCGTGAACAGGAGCCTGACACCCTATACATGGGCTGCCCCATTCATACATTCCAGGATGACACAATCAGAAGTCCCAGTGTGCAGATGACTAACGACAACCTTGAGGGGTCAGTGAAGGGGAAAGAACAGGGTCAAACACAAAGCAAGCCAGTCACAGACGCTCCACACACTGCCTGGAATGCCCAGTTCACCCCTTGCTCTTCATCCCCTTCCCACTGGCCTAGGTTGCTCCTCCTGCAGGCCCCACTCAGCTGGTTTTCCCTGACTTCTATGTTGTGTCATTTTCCTGGCCACACTTTCTGCCCACTCAAGCTGGGACTTGGGAACTTCCTCCTCAGGGCCTCATTATCTAATACTGCTTTGGTTTTTCTTTTCTTTTTGTCCCTCCTTTATCCCCAGCCTTGCTGTCTGCCACGGTCCAAAAAACACTAAGTGGAAAATCATTAGTTTTATGTTGCGCATGGTGGTGTAAGCCTGTAATCCTAGCATTTGGGAGGCAGGAGGATTGCCACAGGTTTGAAGCCAGCATGGGGGTATATAGGGAGTTAAGGCCAGCTAGAGCTATATAACAAAACCATGTCTAAAACAATTAACCATCAATACCAACACCAACTTTTAAATTGCTTGCATTCTGAGAAGTGTGATGAATGCCATACATCTGGGCTTCACCCTACTAGGAGTGTGAACCAACCCACTGTCTGGTGTACCCACACTGTACATGCCACCTGTTCACTAGTCATTCTCTCTAGAGTCAGGCTTGTCTGTCATGCCAGGAGAGGGGATAAAGGTGGTGAGGAAGGGGTAGGGGAGGGTAACAGGATGTCTACGACATGAAAGCTGCTGTGGGAGGGATGCCTGTGTGTAAAAGGGCACAAGGGGAAGGAAGAGGACGGGAGAGGAGGGAGGGAAACAATGAAAGCAAATTTTGTTTGGACATGCCATAATGGCAGTTATTGCTGTGTATGATAATTTAAAAAAATCAGGCCAGCAAGATGGCTCAGAGGGTAGAGGTGCTTGCTGCACAGGCCTGACAACCTAAATTGAGTCTCCAAACTCACATAAAGGAGGGAGACAAGAACTGACTCCACAAAGTTGCCCTCTGACCTCCACTTGTGTGTACTGTTGCACATGTGCCCCCCCAACACACACACACACACACACACCCCACACAAGTAATAATAAACATAAATTTTAAAATAGAAGAAAAAGAAACCAGTTCAATAAAATGAAAAATTATAATAAAGTGAAACAATTGTTTTTTGTCTTTTTTTGAGAGAGGGTTTCTTGTAGTCCCAGCTGGCCTGGAACTTGCAATATAGACTAGGCTGGCCTTGAACTCAGATCCATCTGCTGCCCTCTGCCTCCTGAGTGCTGAGATTAAAGGTGTGCACCACCACACCCGACTGCAAAACAGTATCTTTAAATAAATATTGTCATGGTATCATGGTGTTTGTTCAAGTGCTCCTTGTGTTGTTCAATAATGACCCAAACACAAAAGCAGTAGTAAGATCAGCAATTTGCTTATGCCAAAGAGAAGCTATAAAATCCTTTTATGTTAAAGGACTCAACAGGGAAAAGGACAGGACATGGAGGCTTACTTCTATAATCCTCACACTTGAGAGGCTGTGACAGGGTTGCTGAAAGTTTGAGGCCAGTCTGGGCTACAAAGTGAAATTCTGTCTTAAAAAAACAAAAACAAAACAAGTGGGTGGGGGGAAGCTACAGGAGGAATGATTTCCTATTCATAAGTATTAAGGGAAAAGAAATTTGTGCTAGGTTTGCTGTCATCATAGACTGTAAATGTTATAATCACAGTGTGTGCTGTTAGTTCAGAGGTGAAAGACTTGTGTACGAAGACTAGAAGAGGCATGGTACATACAGGATCCAGCACTATGTATGGTTTCACACATATTGGGGTCTGGATCATGCCCCCCAAGGACAAGGGGTACACCTTGTGGTTATGGGGCTCACTCACATGTAGTTTCTCACGTGGGTGGGCAAGTTACCTGCTCATTTGAATAAGCAGTTAGATGTGGTGCAAAGTCTGGCTCCAAGTCCACTATACTTCTCCCACAGTAAGAGAATGTGGTCCAAGCGAAGCGATGAGCTGGATCTTGTGTCTTCCTTGCAGGGCTCTGGAAGGAGAGGCACACCGTGTGCTGTTTGGGTTTGTGCCTGAGACAGCAGAGGAGCTACAGGTCATGCCAGGGAACATTGTCTTTGTCTTGAAGAAGGGCAATGATAACTGGGCCACCGTCATGTTCAACGGACAGGTATTCAGAGGGTTGGGGGAGGTGCTAGGGGTAGCAAATGGCAGAGCTTATGTGTGGGACAGTATCTGCTGCCTTATTTGCAGACCTGCCAAGTTCCTTGGTCTGGGTGCTGCTCCCGCCCCCCATGCTGCAGGCTGTTCTGTGTTTTGGGCACTAATGCCTTTGTTTTCCCTTCTGGACTCTGTGATGTGGCACTGCAGAAAGGGCTTGTTCCCTGCAACTATCTGGAACCAGTCGAGCTGCGGATTAATCCTCAGCAGAAGTCTCAGGTAATGCTGTGCTAAGGCCTGTCCTGTCCCTTCATACATCTCTCTGGAAAGAGGTGGAAAGCATTGTGAAAGCGGTGTTGTTGCTTTCTCTGAAGAAAGACTCACTAGTACTGGGCCATTTGCGTTGGTACTGGACACCCAGAGCTGAACCTGGGGATGAGGAGAAAAGATCAGCTGTGTCCAGTGAAAGCAACTGTAAGGACCCACTGGGCTCATCAACCTCTATGAGTTCTCCTGGTCAGGTGACTTGAGAAGCAAAGACTACAGTATATGAAGATTGGGTCTTCTCAGGTGCATCCTCTTTACCAGAGAGAACACAAAATGAGGGGTGGAGATGCAGCTCCCTTGGTAGAATGTCTGCCTTGTATGCACCATGCCCTGGGTTCAGTCCACAGCACTGCATAAACCACGCATGGTGGTGCATGCTCCCAGCAACTGGAAGATAGAGGCAAGAGAATCAGAAGTTCAAGGTCATTAGTGGCTGCATAGCAAGTTTGGGGCCAGCCTGGAGTACAACGAGACCATCTCAAAATCAAAGAGGTCTGCTTTAGAGAGTGGAGTCAGAGTGGGTTTGTCCGGCCCTGCTCCCCCTTGGAAGGTCGGCCTTTCCATCAGGTCTCTCACCACCTAAACACTTGTGCAGCCTGTCTTTTCACATTGTGTAACTAGCAGTGTATGTGCTGAGCCCTCCCTGATCAATCACCAAATCTAGAAGTTCCAAATGCCCTGCAAATGGGGAGGGCGTTTTTTTCCCTTTCTCAGTGAGCTCTGCAGTTGAGACAGAGGCACAGCAAGACCCCCTATCCTCAGTCGATTTCCAACAAGCCTGAAGGCACAAGGGCCTTGTAGGTGGGCATTAGGGTTCCTACTGCTACTGTGACTTTTGTTCTCATCAAGCCAAGCACACTTCTTTTACCCCATTTTTCCAGTGTCTTCCTGTGTCATATCACCCCAACTTTTAGGAAGTTACTTGGCTTCTTTTTGAAGTGGGAAGCCCTCTTACACTTCTGGACGAAGGTTAGCTCCATGTCTGTCACCTCCAGGAGGAAGCCTCCCCGGATTCTGACATTCCACCCCCTCCCAGTTCCAGTGCCCCAGGAAGATCCCAACTGTCACCAGGTTAGTGGCTGTGGGGCAGGAGCTCCCTGTGTTGCTTCATGACTGATAGCTGCTCTCCTAGCCTTCCAGGAAATTCTGGTTTCTTTTCCCAGCATGCCTCAATTTGTGAGCACACACAAGAACCATGTCTTGCCTGCACCACCCATCTACTGAAATGTGAAGACAATGCCCACCTCCTTGCTTCACAATCAAATGCAGCTGAGGGGCAGTAAGTGCCCCTCCTGAAAGCAGTCATCAAACACTCCTTCATTAGTGCCTAAATGACCTCAGAGAAGAGAGGCTGCTGTAATTGCATTCTCACTTTCTCAGGGCACTGAGCAGCTCTTTTCAAACTACTGAGGAGTTGTAATTGCTCTGCAGAGTCCTGGGGGTTGAACAAGGGCTCTCTGGAAGGTGTGAAAGGGAGGCTCTTTCCAGAAGGGTCTCTCCAAATGTAGGAAGGGTTGTCTTGGAGAAGCATGCTTTTTGCTGCTAGTGATATTTAAGCAGATTCTGATGGAGAATTTAAAAAGTATCCTGTCTATGACCACCTTGTTGTCAGAACCACTCAGAATGATTATTTGAAAAACTACAAACCTACGGAAAAGTTGGAAGCAGTGTACAACACCCACCCAAACACCTTGCACTTAATACACCAGGTATGGGCCAGTAAGAGGGCTCAGCAGGTAAAGGTGCTTGCTGCACGAACCTGGTGATCTGAGTTTGATCACTGGAACCCACATAAATGTAAAAGGGGAGAAACAACTCCACAAAGTTGTCCCTGACCTCTGCATGCCAGTGCTCACATGCACACGCACACACAATAATAAACACGATTATTTACATTTTGCATCATGTACATCCCCTGTTCTCTAATTCTTTCCTGAGTGACTTATATGTAAATTTCGGACCCATGACACAACCTACCTGGCGTGTCTCTCCTAAGAATGAGCACAGCTTCTGTGTAACCACAGTATACATGTCATCTGGGACATCTAACAATATATAATGTATATTCCACATGTGAATTTCTTCAATTGTCCCTTCCAATATCCCTGATAGCCTTTTTTTTTTTTTTTTTTTTATTCAAAAAAATAATAATGTATATTCCACGTGTGAATTTTTTCATTTTCCCCTTCCAATATCCTTGATACCTTTTTTTTTTTTTTTTTTTTAAATCTTTTTCTGTTGAGAGGTTTATTAAGAAGCACATATTGGAGAAATACTTCAGACTCCTAGGCCTTTTGTTATACTTTAGGGACAGGAATAGGACTTAGAAATTTGCCTTTTTAGCAAAACTTCCCAAGTCATTCTAACAATTAGCTGGGCTTGAGATCAAAGATCTTTTATACTCTCTGTGGTAAATAGCTTCACACTTCTCTTGTATAAGTTATACGCACAATGCTCTTTTAATATATTATGCATCTTAGCAGGCATACACAAAACTAAAAGGCCAGGAAATAAGTGGGTCTAGTGTTTCTGCCTTGGGCCCACCTTGCAGCCCTTGCTTCTTGCTGTCTTGATCTCGCTGCTTTAACCAGTCTTCAGGACCCCTGCTTCCCCAGGCTGCGTAAGGATATACTAGTGCTTTGAGTTACCTACACGTTGGTTCCTGAAGCACAGACATGTTCAAGTATTGTTAAGGTAATTGCTAGACGTTAAAGGGTAAGAAGCTGGGCACTGAGGGCGACAGGTGCCACGAGTATTCACTCACCACCTTTATACTTTCTCTTTTCCACTTAGGTCACAAACAAAAAGAGCTCAAGGTAAGTTCTCCCTTCTACTGTTTCCAGAAGATGGGTGAGCCTGGTGTGTCCAATGTGGGCTTGGCTCTTTGGATTACAGAGAACCAATGGAAGAGTTGAACCAGCTACCACCTGGTTCAACTGGTTCACTCCATCCACAGGCCAGGAATCCCTCACATCTTCTGGACAGGCCCCTACACATATTTCATATTAGCCCTAGTTGCATGCATAGCTCAGTAGACTTCTGTCCAAGCAAGTTGGACTAGAGGACCTCTGATGGCTCTTACGGTTTAGATAAACTAGTTGTTTACTGGCCTGTCCCTTGCTCCCTGGGGGATCCACATGTGATGGAATGGAAGGCTATGGTGAGCCAGACTGCTGCTGAAGGCCTTATACATCAAGGTGTTCCCTTTGCTCCCTCCCTCTCAGGAAGTGAAGCTCAACGTGCCTATGCCCTACACGCTCAAGGTGCACTACAAGTACACAGTAGTCATGGAGACTCAGCTTGGCCTCCCCTATAGTCGGTTGCGGGACATGGTGTCTAAGAAACTGGGGCTCTTGCCAGAGCATACCAAGCTGAGGTAAGTCCTGTGAAGGCAGCTGGGGATACAGCTGTGGGTCTCATGCTGACGTAGAGGATAGGCTACAAGGTCCTTTTTCTGTGCTCATGTCCTCTGACTTAGCCTTCACCCATTTCTGACTAGCTATCGGCCTCGGGACAGCACTGAGCTGGTGCTCCTTTCAGAAGAATGCATGAAAGATGCCTGGGGACAAGTGAAAAACTACTGCCTGACTCTTTGGTGTGAGAACACAGTGGTGAGTACAGGGAGCCCAGGGCACCTACAGTCATTCCACTCTCTCTTCAACAACTCATCATTTATCAATCATCGCCTATGTGCAAGGAAATGTGTGCAGTGATGGGGACAACCATGGGTAACAGCAGCTCTCCCTGCATCCTTACCCAGCTGCAGACAGCAGAGGGTTTCCTAGAGGAAGCCTCAAGCTGCCTCCATCAGCTTGACTGAGTCAAACATCATGGTCATCGCTTACAACAACGGCAGGAGTGAATGGCTGAGCCCAGCTCAGAGGTGCTTTGCATCTTCGGTTTCTATAACCCTTGGCGTGATAGAAAATGGTGAGCATTTATTTCACAGAGGAAGTTGACAGCCTCCTACTAATAGCATTTACTGAGAACTGCTCAAGGGTCAGATTCTAGAGAAAGTGCATTCTGTGAAGGAATTCATGAAACAAAAAAAGTTAGCAACCTTACCAAGTGACACAGCTGCTCAGTGATGAAATGTTAAGATTCCAGAACCTGCCTGTATTCAGTCACCACACTGTGCCGACAGTACAAGGGAAGGCTGTCTTATTAGCCCAGAAGTCTAGCCAAGAGATACCTGACTTTCAAGTGAAATGGACAGGAGCAAAGTTAGAGGCTAGAAATGGCAGTGACACGTTTAGTAGATTTTATACTATCATCTTCAGCACTATAGCTATCCACTCCTTTTAACTGTTACATGGTATCCTATTGGGGCTGCAGATGGCTCAGCAGTTAAGAGCACTGACTGCTCTTGCAGAGGACCCGGGTTTGATTCCCAGCACCCACATGACGGCTACAAACTGTCCTTAACTCCAGTTCCAGGGGAACCCGAAGCCCTTTTCTGACCTCCAAGGCATTGCATGACACGGGTGCACTCACATACATGCAGGCAATATACTCATACACATTAAAAAAAAAAAAAAAAGGTATCCCATTGTATGACTACTGGAACTTATCCATTCATCTGTTGGGGGACATGTGCCTAGAAAAGATTGGGCTCTAAATCTGAACAATTTCACTTAAAAATTTGTCATGATTAGTTTTCCCTTCAGAGGCCATGCTTAGTGGCTATATATCCACAATTCTCCCCCAAACTCCCTGCACGGGCTGTTCAGAACTCCATCTTTGCTGATATTCTCTGCCACGATTACCCTTGGAAGCAGTAAGTTTTTCTTCACTAATTAAGAAAACAAACTATTTACTGTGCATCCACTCGGTGCAGCAACATGTATCACCAACCAAGTTTAAGTACTAACATGTACTTAGAATAGTACTGCCTTAAAGCGATAGTCAATGAATGCCAGCTATTATGATGTCATACCACCTCATTTCAATGTCAGGTGTAGAAACCAAGTTTCAGAGAGGTTATGCTATTGCTCAAGGATACACAGCTAGTAAACAGGAATTAGTGTAAAATCCTAGGTGTGTGGGGGGGCACTTTTGCTAATCCACTGTACCACCTTTAGAAGTATATATGGTCAGGAGTGGTAGCACACATCTGTAATCCCAGCACTCAGGAGCTGAGGCCTAAGGATGAGTTCCAGGCCACCCTGGGCTACTCAAGTGAGAGCCTGTCTCATATTAAAAAACTGAAAAACCACATACACCAAGATTCAACAAACAGCATAAACACCAGAACAGTACATTTTAACCTGGCAGTGTTTCTAGTGTTGACTTAAGTCCTGTAATTTAAATTTTTGGGATTGTATCTTTCTTCTTCAACATTCATCGAACAAAAATGACTGGAATACGTAAGAGGTCCATGACCAGTGTCTAAGATGTGTAAGAAGTGTAATTACAGATAAAAGCTGAGCCTTTTCTCATGGTCTTAGAAAGCAAGGCACTCTGCAGTGGCTCTGAAGCAAAATTAACAGGCCCCTTATTATTTCAGGGTGACCAAGGCTTTTTAGATGAACCCAAGGAAAGTGAAAGCTCTCATGCTAATAGCCAGACAACGGAAGCTGACCTTAAGGAGGGGAGCCAAGTAGTAGCGCTCTTTAGCTTTGAGGCTACCCAGCCAGAGGACCTGGAGTTTCTGGAAGGTGATGTAATCCTGGTGCTATCAAAGGGTAAGTGCTGCTCTAAGATCACAGAACCAGACTCCCATATGAGCAAAACCAAGGTCAAGCGCAGAGAAGAAAACATCAATAATCTACAGACAGAATTTTGGTTAGTAGTTTTAATCCTTGCTTTTAACAGGAGGGAACAAAACCAAGTATGTGACTGCACCCCACTGAATATAGGGGACATTTGGGAAACTACAGATTTATTCCAAAACTTAACTGGCTGCAATTATTCTGCTTTCACTACAAATCATGAACTCTTGAATCGTTGTACTCTCTAAAGAAGAGAGAAGTAAATTCTACTATAAAAGCAGCCACTTTGTTAAGTGGCTTGGCTCTCTGGTATCCTCCGACTGTTATGAACCTACAGATTTAAAAAGTGAAATGAGCTAGAGGCGGCTCAGTGCGTAAGTGTGCTTGCTACACAAGCATGAGGACCCGAGTCTGGATACTAGTACTCATGTAAAAAGCCAGATGTGGTTGCATGCACACCTGAACCCCAGTGCTATTGGGAGTAGACAGATCACTGGGGCTTGCTGTGTGCCAGTCTAGCTCCAGGTTCAGCGACAGTCCCTATCTTACAGTAAGGCAAGTTGTGGAACAAGACACCCAGTGTCTTCCTTTGGTCTCTGTCCATGTGCACAGGTACACACACACATGCGTACACACACAGAGTAAGTGGAGAATTCTTAAAGTGATTCTCAAACTTCATTGTGCCCAAGCATCTCCTGTAAAATTAAGTTCTTTGGCCCACCTTCCAGAGTCTGGGTTAGATCCAGGGTTGGGCCCACAAATTTGTACTTCTAACCAATTTCAGGTAATACTGGTCTGATTATACTGAGAAGCATGGTCTTATTCCTCTACTTGGAAACAGATTCCCATACAAAATCACCTTGTTCACTAACGCTAGCATTAGTAAGGCAAAGCAGTAATAGCAATCCAATAATCAAGAGCAGGAGACTTGAAGTTATCTGGGCAGAATACAAGTGTGCGACAACTCTTAGTGAGGAGAGAAGCACCTTCTTTCAAGGTAGAGTCAAAATGAGGTAAGGACTGGGTTTAAGAACTCCCAGTACCACTTTGTATAACAGCTAAAAAAATTTTTTTAAGGGTGGTGGTGTAAGGGGCAAGATAAAAATGAGCACACACAAGAAAAACCTTATGTAGACAGAAGGCGTTTTACCTCTGACATGTATGAAAACTAAATGGTTTAAGTCAAGAAGTACCCCTACAATATTGGTATTTTATCCTTCACATTCCAATGGAAAACGGAATTTAGTACACACAGAGGTGGGACCAAGGGGGAGTTCAACTGCTTTCAGCAGTCATAAGATGGCTTCATTTATAGTGTTTTCTAAACATCAATGTGCATGCAAATCACTGGAATCCTCAAGAATGGATACTACAGTTTAGAATGTGGTCTGAGATTTTGATACACTTCCAATCCATACCCATACAATAATTAGGATGAAGGCATTGGTTTACAATTAGTTACTGGAGGAGACCTTTTACAAAAAGACTGCCCAGCCAACACTCAACTCTTAATTATGGAATTTTTGAGAATTGAAACCAAAGAATTCTAAAGGCATGTCCAAAGATGAATCTCTGAACTGCTCATGTGATTTGGTTAGACAGGTATGAACAAAACTATCTTTCTGGGTATCCTTGTCCTTAGTGAAAAGAAGGTAATAGTTATAACTGAGTTACTACTAAGTCTGAATTACAATGTCTGTACTTTATTAAAGGCTTAAAAATAAGAGCCTTTAAAATCCTTTTACAAACACACACTAAAACCATCACTAACTCCAATTTTTAAGAATTAGTAGGGAACTTTCTTTTTTTTTTTTTTTTTTTTTTTTTTTTTTTTCTTTCTGTTTATTCTAGGCTAGCCTCAAGCTCACTTTGCAGCCCATGCTGGCCTGGACTGACATCACTTTCCTGCTTCAGGAGACAGGGTCTCCCTGTAGCCCTAGCTGGCCTGTAACTTGCTATGTAGACCAGGCTGGCCTTGAACTCAGAGGTCTGCCTACCACTGCCTCCCAGAGTGCTGGGTCTAAAGGTGTGCACCACCACACCTGGTTGGAACTTCCATTGTTAATATATTTAACCTGTATGTCCTTTCATGCTGTCAAAATGAAGTCCAACAAAGTTCAGACAAACCTTTTTCTTAAAAATCTTATCTGAGAATTCACTGTATCTGGTAACTTTCTGAAATAATTTATCCCATATTTTACTTCTTCATTATCCTATCTACAACAGGAATTGGTAAGATGGTGAAACTTCATATTCACTTTAACCTCAAATCACTTTTTCTTCTGTTACCAAATATGGGGACAGGAGATGACTAGTTAAGCATAGGTATAGAATACTCAGGTGATTTTCCTGTGTGGTCTTAGTAACCAATGTACATTTTGCCTTTTATCAGTGAATGAAGAATGGCTTGAAGGGGAATGTAAAGGGAAAGTTGGCATCTTCCCTAAAGCTTTTGTTGAAGAATGTACAGCCAAGGATTTGGAAGGCACTCCCACTGGAGTCTAGGATGTTTCAGTCTACAAAGCCGAAAACAGGAAGACCTGATGTCTGCAAGTTTTGTATCTCTGGTCTATACTAAACGCAGAGGTGTTACGGTTTGGAAGTGCTCATTAACCTAACATTTCCCTATTAAAATTTAACCCTTTACACAATATAAGAACTCAGGATGAAGATTTCCTGAGGTAGAAAAAGGGAGGAGTCCATGAAGTTTCCGGAAGCAGATGGTGGGGGGGGGGTCCTCCTTGGGTGCTGACAATTTTTGTTCTGAGTGCTGGCTACCCAGATGTTTGTGAAAATTCATTGAGCTGCACTTAAATTTGATGCACTTCTCAGTATGTGTGATGCCTCAGTAAAAGACTTGCCTTACAAAAATGGAGGCAGACAGAGCTCTGTGATTTCTAGATTAATCTGGTCTACACAGTGAGTTCCAGGCCAGCCAGGGCTACATAGGGAGACCCTATCTCAAAAAAAAACAAAAAACAAAAAACAAAACCCACCCAATAAAAAATAAAACAAGATACCCAGTGTCAAGGTCCAAAAGCTAAGTGGGAATACTTTTTTCTTGTACCTATACCAATAGTACAGATTCTTGAGGTGTAAATTTACATGTGATTCAGAAGCCTACACATAGAAAATTAACCAAAAAAATTTTTTTATTATTTTTATTTTATGTGTGTGTATTGCCTGCAGGTAAGTAAGTGCACCCATGTTGTGCAATGCCCGCGGAGGTCAGAAGAGGCTGTCGATACCCTGGGACTGGAGTTACAGACAGTTGTTAGCTGCCATGTGGGTGCTGGGATTCAAACTGAGGTCTTCTCTGCAAGAACAACTAGTGTTCTTAACCACTGAGCCATCTCTCTAGCCCCGAAAATTAACTTTTTATGCCTTCTCCAAGAGGGACATTATTGAGTTCAATGCTGAATATATGCCACAAGCACGTGAATGACAAAAGCTGTGTTCAGGAAGCCAGTTGTTAGAGACAGTCTATTACTTTACATTTCATACTACTATTATCTACATGATAGAATGCCAGTTTTGTTCTGGTGATGATTCAGGGTCAACCTGGGGAGAAGTCCCTAATAGTAGCCCTTGGGACTTTACTGCCCTCGGCCCCTTGTAGCTCAAGTATATGTAGCATAGCTAGTATTTTTCAAGTTTGCAGGTGCAAGAAAAAGGAGTTAAGAAATGAGCTGTACACTGTGGAAGCTGCCACTGGAAATGGACAGGTTGGGAGAGGTGCCACTGCAAAGCCAAGTCACTGTTGTTGGCACTAATCAGATTCAGTGCATTTTATGCCCAAAGACAAACCATCTCTGAACTGCTTCATTAAAAGCTACAATAGGCATAAAAACAGTGGATTGCTACTACCTTCACATAAGTCATTCTTTATTTAAAAATTCTGATAGTTTACTTCTATGTATCCTTTTCCATAACAGTTCACTAGAATGCTATGAAAAGTAAAATTAACCCTTCAAGCAAACCCAGTTGTGACCAGCTTTGCTTTTCCCTGAAAACTTCTGAGTAGTTGAGATTCTAAATTGGTTTTTAATCCTGTATTCTTTAAGGTAGAAAATAAATACTCAATACACAAATCTGGTTGGAGAGAACATGGTTTAATTAAAGGCAAAGCTGATTTCAGCAGCTGCAAATCTTGCACAGACAGACCAAACAAAACAAAATCCAAATGAAAACAAAACACAAAAGAAAGTTTACTACACAAACCAGTTTCTGGTGAAAATTCTCCTCCCCCTCATTACTCCACAGTGAGGATGGTAAGGCGACAAACCGCCTGAGTCAGAAAACATTCCAACACCGAATTCTCATGCAGAATGGGGCTGTAGATGGGAAGTGCGCACTACTGGGAGGGAGCTGATAAACCTGGTCAGCTTGTCTCAGGTGCAAGAATCAGTGCTGTCGCAAACACCGGAATGTTGCAGCTGTCTGAATTAGAGCTTAAACACACAAACTGGGGAAAGGCAGTAGGGAAATAGGGAAGAGGAAAAAGGCGGACACAGTGTAGGAGCTAGAGAGAAGCACGAAGGGTGTCATATTGCCATTGAGTGGGGGCTTCACACTTTCAGACCTTTCAAAAACAAAACCAAACCAAGAAAACCCAAACACCATGTCAAACTAAAGAGCAATACAGTAAGCCTGGGGGCTACAACAACTCTTCCTGCAGAGCAGTGAGCAACATCTCACCCTTCTCATTGCTGGGCTTGCCCAGACCCCAGTGATGGGGGCTCCTGGATGTGCTGTGCTCAGCATCTGTTTTCCAGCTAAGTTCTGCAATAACTCCCATAAAGCCCTTTCCCTCTGGAAGAGTAGATGGGCATGTGTGGGAATGGACGAGAGAGCGAGAGAGCGAGAGAGAGAGAGAGAGAGAGAGGAGAGAGAGAGAGAACGCGAACACGCTCTCTCTGAAAATAATTCCTACCCCTAGCATAGCAATCGGACATTTAGATTGTTTCCATAATTCCCCCTTCAAATCTTACTTCCAGGAAGTGACTAAAAGAAATGCTGTCCTGTTGCGACACAAGAACACCTTCAGTCCTCTTTCCTCCTAATAAATATCAAATAAAAAGTTTATTTTTCTTTTGCCTTTTCCAAAGTGGCATTCGTTGTGTTTTCTTCTGTGCACAGTGTGCATATGTGTCCCTGTTGCCTTGATTCCATTCTTCACGTAAAGGCTGGGAGCCCATGGCTGGGCAAAGGCCCTTCCCTGGCTACGCAGGCACCGCTACTTCCTTCCTCTTCAGTCTGTCTTTTGGGCCCCAAAAGCTGGCCCCATGCTGTTGCTTCTTGGCGAGATGTTGTACACGTAAGGAATAAAAACAATTACTAGTATACAGCATGTGGTTAAAAAGGGATGGAGACAAGATGGGTGCAAGAGGCTGGGAAGCAGGATGAGGACACAAAAACCAACCCAACAAAAAATAACCACACTGAAAGCGTCTACCTATTAAAATGCGTGCCAGGCTATGAATGGACTAGCCTGCCTTCTGTGAGACTGCTTGCTATGCTACTGCAAAAAGTATAGGAATCAAGAACATTAATTTGAAATCTTACAGCAGTCACCTGCTAGTCTAGCCCAGCAGCAGCACCCACACTGCATCCTCGATTGGGCTCGAGCACCTACAGAGTGAAGGGCATTCCCTGCTGGAGTTTCCAGGTTGGAGGAAGGCCTACCAGAACCTTGTAAGAGGCCTATACTCTCCCTTACGGAACACTCCCACTGGCTGAGGAGGTCAGTTCCCCATCCTGTCACCACCGACCTCTCAGGAGCAGCAAACGGGGACTGTCTTTGCTACACACTGACTAGAAGTACACCTGTGTATGGAAGAATTCAGTGTGATATTTTGCTACTGAGAGTAATAACAATAAAAGATGTTTAGGAATAATTTCAACTACATTCTCAGTCAGCAAAGCACTCAGAGTGGATTCCTATTTTATTCCCCAAAGAGGAAAAAAAGGACTGAGAAGTAAGTTCCCACTGGCTTCTCCCATCTGCCTTCCCTTCTCAGCTTTCACTTCCCATGTGGCTGGGGACATGCACGGTGGAGAAGGTGAGAGGCGGTGATATCAGTAACTGAGTGAGACAAACAGCAGTTCCTCTCTCCCTCCGGAAAGCCCCGGGGGAACGGAGAGTTCCTGATGTTTCTTTTTGTTGCACTGTGAACATTTCGTGCACACTCTGCGGGCTGGTGGAACACTTACACCCTCTTGACAGCAAGAAACAGACAAGAGGGCTGCCACCTGCAGAGGACTGTGTGGGTCAGTCCTGCAAACCCAACATGCCATGGTTTATGGAGCCTTCATTCCTGGAGTTGCTACTGTGGCCTCAGTGTGGAGGGTTCATGGTGCCTTGTCCCCGCTGCTGTTTCTGCTTCTGCTGCATTAACAACTGCTCCAGAGCGGAAGGTCCAGGATGCATCATGGAACTGGACCAGATAGACTGAAAAACAGCCCAGAAAACTGTCAGCAGAGGTCATATGCCTTGGTTGTCTGATAGGAATTTGTTTTAAATCCTGGCCACCTGTAAAGGCATATATACATGTCCCTGAAGCCCCCAAAGCAATGTAACTATAAGAAAAAGTCATTATGGGACTCTTAAGACCAGTTAGTTCCTATTAAGAGCATTTTAAAACTGGAAACAGTGAGATTACAGTTATATGTTTTTTTCTGTTTTGAGATAAGACTCTTGCTATGTGTAGCCTGGCCTAGAACCATCATTCCTCCGACCTCTACCACGCAAGTGCTGGGATCATAGTATGTTGAAATTGTTTGAGGTGAAATCCTTTTACTAAAACTCATATGGTACCATAGGGTAAGTTTATTATGGAGGTTTTAGGCAAACACATTTTACATATTCCTTAACTAGTCAAAATGAATGCCAAGATGATTTAGAATTTTCTTCACCTTAGGATAAAAATAAAACCCTTAACATTTCTGATACAGCTAGTGAATTCTCAAATTCCACTCTTGGTTTTTGTTGTTTGATCACAACTTCCATTCATGAATATCAAAAAGCAGAGTTTTATTTCTAGGACTCTACAGCATATGCTATATATATCAATCAATTCCAAGAGCTGAAGTTAAGTAAGCCTCACTACTGACATGGGTACTGACTTTTTTTTCTTCTAGAGATCTACTCACCTTTAGGCTTTCCATGAGGACAGCAGAGGAATCCTCCATGGAGGGGCCATGGCCTGTCCAGGTGCCACTTGGAGTGCTAGCCTGATGCCAACTGCTCTCAGAAGATGATGCTGCTGAGAGATAATCAACGCCAAATCCACCCATAGCTAAGGGATGAAAACAGGTAAGAACTCAAAATGTTTTATCACTGGCAAACACCAAACTCTAGGCAAGTTATTTCACTTGCCCTCAGTGGGTAATGAAACGTGGATCTCACCTGGTTTATCAGTTTTCCAGCGATCTGCAGGCCTCCTATCTCTGTTATCTGGTGTCCCAATGGGTCCAAAATTAGAGAATGGAGCAGAATTATGGTTGTGTGTTGGAGGAGAACTGGGCAGGCTGCTGGGGTTAGAGGAATGAGGAGACTGGCTGGCTGGTGTTGAATGGTCTATTAAATAAGAGCAACATAGGACATTAAAAGATGCTCTATAAAGCTGGGCACGGTGGCGCATGCCTTTAATCCCAGCACTCGGGAGGCAGAGGCAGGTGGGTCTCTGTGAGTTCAAGGCCAGCCTAGTCTACACAGTGAGTTATAGGACAGCTGGGGCTACAGGGAGATCGTCTCAAAAAGACCAAAAAAAACCCAAAACCAACCAACCAAACAAAAGATGCTCTATAAACCATGCCAAGAACTAATGTTTCCTACAGAGATGATCATCCAAATTCAGTTGGAAGTACTAGATGGCTTTGGAGCAAAGGCCAAATACAGGCCATAAAGCAATCTGCCAGATCACAAAAAATGTGCCTTATTGTGTACCCAAGCCATATTCTATGCCCTAAAAAGAAAGCAAAACCAAACTGTAGAAAGATCTGTCAAATGTAGAATTCTGACTTCTGACCTGTTTCAGTATTTACTGCTTTTTTTCCATTAGAAATGCCATCTCTTGACCTTAAGAATTATAAAATTAGACTTTATAAAACTGAGATTAAAAATTTTATTTTCATACAACTAACTATAAGAGACTAGAACCCTAAGGCATAGCTACTTTACCCTGCAGTCTGCTGGTTAGACACACAAAGCTTTTTAGGAACACTCACATTGTATAAACTTGTTTTGTCAGGTTTTTTTTTTTCCATTCTTTTTCTTTCTCAAGTTACTTTTTAAAAACCTTTTCAAATTATAAACTCTAGGCCGGGCATGGTGGCACATGCCTTTAATACCAGACTTGGGAGGCAGAGGCAGGTGGATCTCTGTGAGTTCGAGGCCAGCCTGGTCTACAAAGTGAGTTCCAGGCCAGCTGGGGCTACAGGGCGACCCTGTCTCAAAAGGGCCGAAATAAATAAATGAAATAAAATTACAGAATCTGACCAATACTTCGTCAATAGAATGTACAGGAAAGGCAAATTTTATAATTTAAGGACAAGCTGATACCTGAACTGGCAGGAAGTGATGGAGCCCATGGAGTCCCTTCAAAAAGGGAATACAGTGATGTTTCCTGGGAGGCCACAGAGGGGTTCAGTTCTGCCCTGGAGTTGGCCGTCAAGTTTTTCCCATATACTTCATTGAACATACTACTATTTGGGTGTCTTTCCTGAAAGACATGACATAAGTTATACTCTTAGAAAAAGAGATTTAATAAAGGCAATGCTATGATCATGGATGCTTGACTGCCCTAAAGTTCTCTTAGCAAGACAAACGTCTAAAGGCTTTCATTTCTTTCATACTGATTTTTCATACTCATTTTCCCTCTGCCTTTCTCTCACTCTGTATTTTGCTCTACGTAAGCCATCCACGTTAAAAAAGGTGAATAATTTGTTTGACTGAACAACTAAGTCCTAAGGAATTCAGTATTAATGAGAAATTAAAAGGTTCAAAGTCATAATGATCATTAGTCTACCCCAATCAGAGACAAAGGGATAAAATAAATACCAACCTACTATGAACACACAAAACAAGGTTCTTATTTTTATTTACCTGATTGAGAGAGAATCCGGTGAGGGATAGGAAAGAGGACGAATGTGACATGAGCTCTGAGGGCTTCTCCAATAAGGATTTCTTCACAGTCCCAGGAAAAAAAAAGCAGTTAAGTGAGTCCTTCCACTTTCTATTAATCGTAAGATAATACAGAGCCAAAGTAATAGATCATCATTTAAACATGTGTTTATTTGTCCAATGAGTATAACTGAAAGACTTAGGAAATATAAATTAACATCTGTTAATACTATTATATCAGCTAGGTACCAGCTGTCTTAGGTGGTGAGTCAGAACCCTCTTTTCTCAGCTTATGTGGTCCAGCTCAGAGATGCTGGCAGGTCCCAGGAGTGTTTTTTAGGTATGACCTCAGGAATCCCCTTACCAAGAGCTATAAAAGATGCTGAATTATCTTGTTTTACTCCCTAAAATATAAAAACACCGATGACTCTAAAAAAGCCTTTCAAATCCATCTGACAACTGATTTTGTTTGCATGTCTCCTAAGCAGGTGTAATATATACTAAAATATTGTGAGTTGAGTTTACATTTACTGGTTCTAAAAAAGTTATAGGAAAAAGAAAGTTGTATCTCTCTAATGCTTGTCATTAAATGGTGTTTAATAAAATAATTTACTGAACATGTACTGCATGTAAAGCATTTTCACATACATTACATTGTCAACAATGTTAAGTATAGGAAGGGCTACTGATCTTCTTCACTGTCCTTTTCTAAATATGCAAAAAAAGAGAAAAATTTGAAAATCCCCTACTTGTTCCATCAACAGCTCCATTTCCATCTAAAGGGGAAGGAATAAGAGGCTGATTCAGAGGTAAGGAAACAAGTGGACAGAGAGGCACCAGCCTCAGTCCCTCAAGCCACACCATCAGAAAAGCAGAAAGAAAGGCACACATGCTAGGGAACAGCAGCACAGCAGCTGGGCTTTTGCAGCTCCTATGCTCCCATTTCCAGGGAATCTTTTATTGCTAACCTGAGAAGAAACCTCTACGGCCACCCACCAGGCAGACTCTTAAGTTACTTAAGTACCAGGGACAGCAGCCACTATCACAAGGCCATTTTAATTTTTCCTGATCCTATGATAAATACATTTTCATCTTGCAAATACTTTACTGCTCTGTTTATAGGAAAGAAAAAGCTAGAAAAATTCAGAAACATTTGATGCTGTACTAAGATGAAGGGAAGGGAGGTGGGAACCCTCATGATGTACACCATCCTTCCCATGTTTTATACCCCACACCCACAGTAAATAAAATACAATGCAAATGCCAATGAGCCTGAAGAATGATGGTCTGCATGCCAGGTTCTAGAAGACTATTTTCAAATAAATCCACTAATCAACTCTTGCATTTTATTTTATATTACCCTAGTTATTTACATACCTATCTACTCATTTTTATTTATTTATTTTTTTGGTCTTTTTGAGACAGGGTCTCCCTGTAGCCCCAGCTGTCCTGGAACTCACTATGTAGACCAGGCTGGTCTTGAACACAGAGATCTGCCTGCCTCTGTCTCCTGAGTGCTGGTATTAATGGTGTGCACCACCACGCCCGGCTCTATCTACTCATTTTTAATACTTTAAACCATGTTTCCAGACAAACTTTCTTCATTGTTACCCATTCTGCTTATGACTTGAATTCTGAATCTAGATTAGGGCTTTTTGGTTCAGTGAGTCAAACAAGAAAGAGCTACAAACGGTTCAATCATGTCAGTTGAAAAACCTAAAACATATTTCTTTTTTTTTTTTTAAAATACATCTGAGATTTTTTTTTTAAAAAAAAATTCACTATCCTTAAGCAGTATCACACAACACTTGAAATTTCTGAGTCCAGGTGGATGTGCCACCAAAAAAGTGAGTTATAGACAGCATCACAGAGTATGGTCATAGCAGCAGCACGCTTTCTGGCTGAAACATATTCTGGCTACAACTCTACAATTTGGGGAACTAGATAGTCAGAAATGACTGGTTATGCTCTACTGCTATTTTCTGCTTAATTTCGGGCAATATGGAAATATATTTTATGTCTCTATAAAGAAGGAAAGCATCAGAAAGAAGAAATTACCTATACTAAGTGCTATTGAGTGATACTAATCATCTCAAATGGCATCTTAGAAAAGCAGCTGTAGTTAGAGCAAGAAGCAGAATTATGTCCAATACATACAAAGAGGCTTCGTCCAGGAAGAGAGGCCAGAGGACCCAGCAGAGCTGGGTAAAGATCAGGAGGGTTAGAAAAGATCAGCTCTTCCTCTTCCTCCAAGGCAGCCAGACTCTTTAACAGGTCCGGAGGAAGCAGAGGGGAGCTCTTGGGGTCCTAGTGACAGAAAGTATCACTGTGAGATGCGATCTGGGACAAAAGCACAAAGGAGCAGCAGCATGGTTAGGTGTAACACAGCTAAAGCCAAGGGTAGAGGCACAATCGTGAGAGAGATGTACCCACAGAGGAAAAGGCTGAAACATAAATGCAAAGGGACACACAGCCAATCGCGTAGAAATAGCGAAACGGGGGAAAAAAAAATAAGAGCAGGATATCAAAGGTTAATATGACTAGTGAGTAAAATAATGCAGTGGAGCAAAATGATCAGCATATTCTGTGCTAAGGAATACAGAGCAGCTCCTTAAAGTTACACTCCTGAATAAAAAGAACAAGAAAAAGAAATTCCACTGTCCAAGACTGACTTTCTTCCACTCAGGAAGCAATATGTTTATCTGCTCATTAAGTCTATTTTTAAACCAAGATGACTCAGCCCAACTAGTAACTCTTTGCCTCAGAATTCCCTACCGTGCCAATAGACATTCTCTGTCAGACCAGTAAAGATCAGTATCAGTTACTGAATTCTTCAGCTCCCCAAACAAAAAACGTTTGATACTTCAGAGGCCAAGCGCTATATTACAAGTGGGCTTTATAACATCCATTTCTCACAAATATGTATAAATTTTTGTGTCAACTTAAAAATATACTGTATCTTGGCTGAGTGTGGTGGCGCACACCTTTAATCCCAGAATTTCGGAGGCAGAGGCAGGTAGAGCCTCTGTGATTTCAAGGCTAGCCTGGTCTACATAGTAAGTTCCAGGCCAGCTGGGGCTACAGGGAGACCCTGTCTCAAAAATACAATACACACACACACACACACACACACACACACACACAAATTTATCTGTTGAGAAATTCAAAAAGATATGCAACCCCAGGCTTATCTCCAAAGAACCTGGATGTGAGAAAGGACACACACCTCAAATGGCATCCTGGGCACAGGATCCTGCTCTGGACGGAAGACTCCTGGTGACCGTTTGCTCCTGCGGTCCATATTTGGTTGCTGTGTCATTACAGCTCTGTTATCAGCCATGCTGAATGAAGAATCCCAGTAGAATTCTGGGACCTTGACTTCTGAGGGATTATGGTTATATGGCTCCATGGGAAAAGGCTTCATTTTTTTCTCTAGAGGCTGCTGCTGCATTACAGGAGGTTGCAATGATGGTTCAAACAGTTTTATAGGGTCTTGGGTCTGAAGGTAGTAGGGCTGTTTCACAGGCATGATTTTCCCTAGTGGGCCTTGAACCTGAGGGGGATTCCATAGCTGTTTGGAGGCATCTGCCTGTTGATACTAAAAAAGAGGTGCCTGTCATCAAAACGAAGATAAATAGCAATCTTACTTATAATCGATGCTCAAGAGTCACAGAATCAATCTTTGGGATTTTATAACAAAACTTCAGGCAAACCAGAAGTTTTCTAATTCTCTAGTTTTTTCAATACACAGAGATTCTGAGTAAAGATATAGGCATATCCCTTTTCAATTCAATTACTAATGAGGTTTAATGAATAAAGTGTATATGAAACAGAGCACATGCTGTGTCCTCCACCCCCATTTCAAGTGTGAGGATGGTATGACATTTAAGACTGGTGTCACATCTATCTTAGCACCTCTTTAAGATTAAAATTCTATTTCCATGTTGTTTATGGTCAAGTAAGAATTATTTTTATGGCTGGGGGGCAGGGTGGCTGGCTCAGCTGGTAAAGGAAGGACCTGAATTCCATCCTCAGAACCCATGCAAGACTGCTGGGTATGGTGGTGCATGTTTGTAATCCCAGCACTGGAGAATTATGGAGGTAGAGACAGGAGGATCCCTCTAGGGCCAGCTAGCTCCAGCAAATGAGAAAAGAGACCCTGTCTCACTGGAGGTGGGGGCATTTTTCAGGGTGATACCTGAGGCTATCCTCCAGCCTCCATACAATCACACAGTACACATGTACTCTCATATACATATCTGCATAAATTTTTTATAGAAAATCTTCAATATAGCTAACAATTAGCAGTAGTTAAGGTAGAAGACCTAATATATCATCCTTCATAAATAAAGCAAGAAATCAAACATTTTAAATTTCTTAATAGCAGAAAGAGTATTTTTGTATTCCCACAATCACTGTTAAATCTAAGCAGGAAGAAACTTAAATGACATTTATTAAATGGTCAAACACTAAATCATTTCAACATTTCTCCTTATTACAGCTGACTACCATCTGTAACCTACCTGCTGGAATCCAGAGTGGTGAGGCGGGCTTTTCCCCAAAGCTGGCATGACTTTTGTAGGGGATTGTTGCTGAGCTAGAGTTTGAACCTGCAACTGGCTTGTAGACTGTGCTGTTGGCTGAGCTGGTAAAGATGTAAGGGGTGGCTGGGAAGGTGGCTGTGATTGTTGAGGTCCCTGGTTCATTGGCCCTGGTCCAGAGGGCCGTTGCTGGCTGTAAGGAATGTGGGACTGTTTCCCAGCTTGCACCTGGTTTCCTGCTGGAGAGTGAGCTGTAGGCTGAAGAAAGGTTCCTGGGACAGAAACACCAGCTGGGAAGGTGTAACCTGAGCCCATAGAAAATGCCACAGGAGGGGGGATAACATATGTTGGGGGCGGGAACCCTTCAAAACAGAAGAACATAGCTTTAGTTCTAAAGAAACTCAGCAAAAGAAAGGGGGGAATTTTTTGGGGGGGGGGCGGTTATAACACATTATAAAAGCAACAGATCTACCATACTGCCAATTGTTTACATAGTATTAAGAAATACAGACTAGTGGTTACTTTTCCTCTAAATACTAAAGTGATCAGGGAGTATTCTAAAGGTGGCTTCTCATGTTTAAAAATAGAAATTTCTTCATGGTTAACAGACTTGAACTTGTATGTGAATTACAAAGAAATGAAAAATAATTCATAACCACTAAGGAAAATTATTATCTCTTTCTACTTTACAACATTATAGATTTGGATTAGCACTCTGAGTACAAAGTACCCAATGAGTCAGCCAAAAACCCCATACAAACAGAATCAGGTAGAAGAAATTACAGAACTATTTACCTGGTCGACTGGGCAGAGGAGGGAAGGCTCCAGGGTGATGAATAGGGATGAACTGAGAGTTACTTGCTTGACTTGGAGTTTGAGTTACAGGTGTTTTCCTGGCTTCAGACACTGGAGTCTTTCTTAGTTCTGTCTGGGATTTTACCTATGACCAATAGAGGCAAAACTCACTATAAAAACCTGTAATTCCCATATCAGAAAGAAGCACTTATTCCTAAGAAAATATTTAAAACCTGGGGCTGGAGAGATGGCTCAGCGGTTAAGAGCACCAGTTGCTTTTGCTGAGGACCTGGGTTCCATTCCCAGCACCCACATGGTGGCTAACAACCATCTGTAGCTCCAGTTCCAGGGGAATCCAATGCCCTCTTCTGACTCCATGGGCACTGCATGATAGGGGTGCATTTACACACACTCAGGCAATCACTCATACACATAAAGTAAAAATAATAAATAAAATAATAAAAAAGAAAAATATTTAAAACCTCACGCCCAAGGTATGTTGAAGATACTTTAATTTATCTAAGTTAAATATAGAAAAATCAAAATAAATTACCAATAAAAGAAACAAAGGTTTATAGACTTAGGAACCCATACAAAAAATGCCAGACATAGTGGTATATATTTATAACCCCAGTGCTGGTGAAGGACTCAGGAGGGAAGGCTCACTAGCCATCGAGTCTATTCTAACTGGTGAGCTCTAAGCTAATGAGGAATCCTCACTCAAAGGAGGCAGAGGATCTTCCTGAGGATGACCCCCGAGGTGGTTCTTGACCTTCATTTGTGTGTACACATGTGCACTAGCATGAACACAAGAATGAACGAATGCACGCACGCACACACACACAGAGAAAACAGTTACTCTATTTCTCCTTTTCTCAAAAAAATTCTACTGGGCAAGTAAACCTAAGGTTTGTTGCTTTGTAAGCTGCTTTCAACAATGTAAGGTTCCTCATGCAAACAAATTTGCTGCAACAAGCTAACAAATCATACAGCTACTCAAGTAGTTATTAAAACATTAATGAAATAAGAGTCGGGATCCTTCTGCATTTATATGAAATTACCAGTATCTCTTTGGAAAGGTATAAAATAACATTAAAAATAACTAAGTAGTATTTATCTTTTCCCAGCAAGAGACCTGAGTTCTTGTTTCACCAATTTTCATCAGCCAGCATAACATTCCAAGTGTCACTGGCTGGAACAGGCATAAATAAATGTCAGGAAAAGAATCCCTTTTTTCCCTCCAAAATTAAGCTTTACGTTGTACGGTGAAATCTTGAGGGGAAAACAGTAACAAAAAACTATATAAGCCTCAATATTACCTTTGGTTCTACTGGATCCTATACCCCCACCCCCAAACTCTTCAATATTCACAAGTGATAATTATACTTTCCAAAGAAAACTACAATTCTATGTGGAACTAGTGGTTCTACAACTCGTCATTTGGATCCCTTGAGGAAGTCCCGCAACTGATAAAGCCACCATCTACTGAGCTCTTTACATACCTTACTGTGCAGTCAAAGAATGTACTTAACCTTCAGGACGGCCAATGCTCAGGTCCTTATAACAAATGAGAAACCTTGCCGTTTGTGTGAGCCTTCCTCTACCTGCTTTATAGTTCCAATACCGCTTACCTGCACTGCCACACTCTGCTTTCCTGTTTCCTGTAACTTTTCTAAGGTGCATTTCTTGGTTTCAGCTTTCCTCTTGCTGTTGTCCTTCTTTCCATCATTCTTAGTAACAGTTATTCCTTTGCTATAGTCCCTTCTCACCTCTTTGGGAGGAAAACTTCTTCCTTGGTCTCTGTTCACTTCTCGTGGCTTAATATTCTCTTTGAAGGTAACCACTGGTTTCTCTCCTGTGTCACAGTTGTTGCTTGGATTTCGGCCCGTAGATAGCACTGATTTCAGTCCTGGGCTTCCATCAACAGCTAGTGACTCTATCACAGATGTTTCTTGTAGGATGAGGTTCTCTTTGGCTTCACTGGGGTCCTCTAGTATTAATTCTGGAATTTCTGTGATAAACAACAATTTCCCTACCTCATTTTCACACTGCATCAGCCTAAAAAAATAAAATTTCACACATTAAAACCATAAGCTTAAAACATAGTAACTCAACTGTCTATGGCTCCAACAGTCAATATACTTTTAGGCTAAAAAATTAAGGAAATAGTAGAATATAACAATGTGGAGCCAGCTAACACAAGCAGAACTACTCAGAAACTCAGATTCTCATTTCTAAATATTTTAAAAATATTTTTATTTATTATTTTTATTTTATGTGTATGCGTGTATTGCCTGCATGTAGGTAAGTGCACCCATGTCGTGCAATGCCTGCAGAAGACAGAAGAGACTGTCGGATCCCCTGGAACTGGAGTTACGGACAGTTGTTAGCTGCCATGTGGGTGCTGGGATTTGAACCCAGGTCTTCTGCAAGAACAGTCAGTGTTCTTAACCTCTGAGCCATCTCTCCAGCCCATCATTACCACATTCCCTCACCACAGTATCTCCTCTGCTCTTTCCGTGTTTGGCAATAACTGCACTTGCATTTAATACTGAGCATGTTTGAAGATACTACTCCTTGAGATAAGGTAGCTATATATCCTTATTTTATAGATAGGGAAACTAAAACTCAGGTGATGACTTCATTTAAACAAGCAGGCATTTAACTGCACTCAGTATAACAGGAGAATATAAAAACTGAGAACAGTAACTGGCTCTGAAAAAGGATATAATCCACTGAGAAGATCCAAAGGACACAGGTAGGAACTGAACTCAGACTCAGATTTCCAAAACCAGTGTTCTTTCCACTATACCAACAACCATTTCCACTTTGTGTTTAACTAGCCCCTAGTAGCATTCTGCTCGGTCTTGACCGAAAGTGACCAGCATGCCCTTGCTCATACAAATCACTTATCTGAGAGTATCTGGTTTAGTTCAATTAATACAGATGTTTAGAAATTGGAGCAGAGGCTCCTGATAAACAAGGAAGGCAAGACTAATTCTGTCACAGATAATAAGCAGTATAAGAGAGAGGAAGAGACTTTTAAATAAACTTTACGATCAACTGGGTCATAAGATGTTGTGCTACAAACAGTGCCTTATTTCATAACCAATAGTATTCACATCAAAGCCTATAAGACATGTGAGGCAGATGTGTGTGTGCTGATCAAGTGATCAAAAAGGAATACACGAGAAGGCCCATGGACATACCGTGGCTGATTGTCAGCAATCCATTTCCCTATAGAGATCAAGCGCTGCTGTCTTATTCGTCGCTGCTGACCCTCTTTGTCTCCTGTAATACCCTGATGGCCTTTGGAAAAATCCAAGTTCCTAAAATGGACACAGCAAGTTATAGAAAATTAAACCCTGAAGAGATTTTCCAAGCAATCAACTGCAAAGGCTTTAAGATGTTTCCAATACAGGCTAGAAACATCATGTAATCAACTGAATTTGTTTGAATTTACACTTTTAAAGATTTCAAATACAAGAAACAAAACATACAAAGTTTGTTATGTTAATGTAACATTTTCACTTATATTTCACTTTCAAGTTAAGAAACTCAGTTCACAAGCTTTAGTTATGAAAGATTCTTCTGTTATTGAAGAATAAAGCATTTTTGTTGTTTTAAAGTCCTGAAGATTGAATCCAGGTTCCTGCTTGTGCTAGGCAAATACTCTCTCACTGTATAAAACCCCAAGCCCAGAATACAGTTTTATAAACACCTGCTTTCTAAATATAATTGCTTAAAATAACCAGTACATTGTTAAGGGTCTCTGAAGTACCTACTCTTAAAAATAGTGTTAGTCTACTTGATATTCTAGTCTAAATCAGAAATATGTGTAAATTTCATAAAGTGTATAAGCCTGAGAAGTATGAATCAATCTGTACAAAAAGTTGAGATTTCTCTTCATTAAATGTAAAACAAACTATTATTTAAGTTGGGTGTGGTGATACATGCCTATAATTCCAGCATTTGGGAGCTGAAGGCAGGAAGACAGTGGGCTTGAGGTTAGCCTGGGCTACATGAGATGTTGTCCACCCTCATCCCCAAAGCCAGCAAGTAGGCTAGAAGCTAAAGGACACACAAATATAAGTGAGAAATGGTTTCTACCTTTAAGAATAAGCAATTATGGAGATCTCAGCAGACCACCAGAGTGCCTATTCCAGCCTCCCTCTGGCATAGGGGCTGAGAACTCAGGGGGGCCACCTTCCCCATATGGTGAAGCCTTTGAGAGGGAACTAACACGGATTCTAGCCACTCCAACAGCTATCAAAGTGCCTGAAAACAAATCCTGAGTCCATCACTCAAATCCAGCCTTGGCAGACAAAAGAAAAATGAGGAACCCAATAGAGAATGCTTTTGGAAGCTCTGGTCAAGAAATCCCAATGGACTCTGATATGAACATGTGAAATTTGCCCTGTTCTGACTTTTTTTCTGGTTCCCTATATAGAACTTGTAATGCTAACTACTCTTGCCTTTACTTCTCCTTCACATCCCCTATTCACCAGTCAAGGACTTTCTATTTCTCCCTACAGGAAAGTTATGCAGTTTGGGAGTCTTTTAGATAGACCCACTGAAGGGGTACCTCAATTGCCTCACCCTGCGTCCCTGTTCAGCATGGAAGAAGCCAGAACAGTCTGCGTCCCGATTCCCTATCCTCACTTTGGGTAACCTCTTCAGAGGATGGTGTGATAAGAATAGGAGGTAGGAATTGGCTAGGCAGTTGGGGTAAAAAAAGACCCCAAAGAATAATAGCCAGTTTCTTGGGTAAAAGTCAAAATGTCCTTAGGCCTCTTAACAACATACTTTGTTCCAAAGGCCAAAAATGTTGGGAGCTCTTACCTAATCCTTAAAAGATTTTAGGGTTCCCTCTTCAGAGGGGTGAATGTTAGAGTAGCAAAAAGCCCCAAAGAAGGGAGAGAGGGAGGGAAGAGAAGGAAGGAGGCAGGGAGGGAGGGAGGAAGTCAGAAAAAAGTGATGGGGAGCTATGGGAGGTGTTGGAGGGGAGGGAGTGGGCATGATTTGATCTAAACACCTTATATGCATAAATAAAATTCTCAGTAAAGATTTTTAAAAGTAAAAAAGAATAAGCAATTACAATTAAGTCTGATAAGCATTACAGTAAAAACTATGCAAAAGCTAAAAGAATGGGCTCCTTCCAAAAAGCACTGGGATGGTTTTAGAGTGATAGCAAAGCTAGACCTTCAGGCTGGAAAACCGCCAAGACTAGAAGGGAATGTTCTAGGTTCAGTGTGAACAAGCTATATGGAGGAGTAGAAATATAGAGCTATTCAAAAAGGATACAGTGAGTGCACAGTATGTGTAAGTAATGGGGATGGGGGAAGGAAGTGGCAGAAAATAGGGCTGAGAAACTAAGAGCTGGAGAGCATAAAACTTGGACATCAAGCTAAAAAGAAAACCAGAGAGACTGGTGAGAGGCAAATCTGCGTCTTTATATTCACTGTAGGATCTCACCAGTTCTCACTTGAAAGTGCTAAATCTAAAAGGCATTTCTGGTCACAGAATTATAAGCCCTGATGAAAAAGGCCAGGAGAAATAGGAACTTTTCTAACTTCCAGCCTGGTGAATAATGCAATCATCACAGATAAGAAAGAAATATTATTAACCAAACAGGAAAATACAAGCTCAATATAGTTTAACATATGTAAGGGACATCAGACTGTCAGTGATCAAAACTCCAAGAGAGGTCAAAACTGAAAGTTTAGGACTTATCCAAGAGTTAAAAGCTGAAGGCCCAAACAAGGATGGCTCAAATTTCCAGGGAGAAGGAAGAGAGGGAGCAAAGAATCCTGCAGAACCACTGCACCCAGATCATGGGGCACAGAAAAGACTAAAGACAGGCAGAAAGGCTGCTATAGAGCTACTGGGAAAGACGCTTCATGAAGGAAGTGCTGGTGGACTACACGGGGAAAATTTAAAAGGCTAAAATTATCTTTGAAAAAAATTTTTTGCCTAAAAACAAGGAACTATTGTCAAGATATTAAATAGTGTATTTACGAACAAAGTTACTTGGATCGTCTCTGCCCTTGCTTGAAAAAAAAAAAGGTCTATTTCTAGAAGTAAAATAAAATTTAAGATGCTTTTTCATTTTTTTCCTTCAGGGACTACTTATGTAGCAGTTTAAAGTATTTAACATAAAATAAAATTTTAGCTTTCATAAAAACAGAAAGTCATTAGAATTCGTAACTATATAGTTTAAATAGTAGCAGGCTGAGAAGTGACTAAAAGCTGAAGTCAGTAAAGTTAGCATACACTGCTCTTAAGAAGTTTATGGTAGCTGGGCATGGTGGTACATGCCTTTATACCCGGCACTTGGGAGGCAGGGGCAGGTAGATCTCTGTGAGTTCAAGGTTAGCCTGGTCTACACAGTGAGCTCCAGCCCAGCTGAAGCTACAGGGAGACCCTATCTCTAAAACAAAACAACAACAAAAAAGAGAAGTATATGGTAAAGAGAAAAACATAGCAACATTAGACAAAGATGGGGGTTATGAATTTTATTTTATTTAAAAGAATAATTTTGAAAAGAGTAATTCTGAAGTTACTGGGCTAAAGGAAGAGAGCTGGTTAGGGGGGAGGTGAAAGATACTGGAAAAACAATGTGGAGAAGATCAGAAGACGGAGTACAACTCTTGGATAAGTAAGAAGGGAAAAGACCAAAGATGGAAGTGGTGGTGGTAAAGTAGTAAGTAGTAAGAATTTATGCCTCTGAAAGAACAGGCAAAGGATGACTTGTGGAGGGAGGGAGAAGATTTCCTTTATTATTATCATTTACTTAAAAAATTGTTTTAGCATAAAACCCTAGATTAAAAAAAAGTATAAAATGTGAAATATCTGATAATATGTATATTACATATTAAGATGATCATAGCCTAGACATTAATACATTATTCAAATTTTAAAAATTATTTTGTGTGCGAACTCTATGTCCACGTGTATGATGGGTGTGCGTGCGTGTGTGTATGTGTCTGTGTGTACCATACTGAAAGGTCAGAGCAGAACTCTATTGCTTTTTGCCTTATTCCCTTGAGCAAGGTTTCTCACTGAACTGGAGCGCACTGTTTTTTTCAGACCTTGAGAGCTCGTCTGTCTCCCTCCCTAACCACCAATCAACATTACTGGGATTACAGACAGAGACAGCCATGCTCAGCTTTTTGTGTGAATACTGAGGATCAGAACTCAGGTTCCCAGGCCTGCACAGCAAGTACTCTTACCCACTGAGTCTTCTACACAGCTCCTATCATTACTATTGATATGAAAAATGTCAAGTAATAACCTATAATTAAAATTCAGTTCTCACTAAGTATAGCAGTTTTTGCCTATAATCTCAGTCCTTGAGATGCCAAGGAGGACGGCTGCATGTTTGAGGCCAGCATAGTTTATGTAATCAGGCACCAGGCCAGTCAGTAGCCAGAGTCAGGGAGCCTCTGCCTCCAAAAATAAAATAAAACATTCCCGTTTGTGATTTCTCTTAATTCAACAAAAGTCTAAAGGTTAGAATTCACAATTATCACTTGGGAGCACAATTTTTTATTCCTTTGTCCTATGTTTCTTTAAAATAACTTCACACTGACATGATACAGGAATTAAAAGGTATGACCCACAGAAATCTATTACACATCAACAAACTTTCATTAGTAGTTTATAGAAAACAAGACATAAGACACAAAGGTTGATGAGATGGCTGAGCAGGTAAAGGTGCTTGCCACTAAGTCTGAGGACTTGAGTTTAATCGCTGGAACCCACAGGATCAAAGGCAAGACCTGATCCAGCAAATTGTCCTTTAACCTCCACATAAACCCATGCACACATGGGTTTTTACACAAATGTAAAAAAGAAAAAGAAAATAAGACACAGTTGTAATAGATTAAAGGTTCCTCTGTATCTAATCCAGATTCCTCTAAGTTTTAATACACAATTTCCAGCAACAAAACAAACCTTCATAGCTCCTACCTGAAAGATGGTCTTAAAGCCAAGAATCCTTGTAACTCAAACTCCTCTGGAAGTGGGGTGGCTAAAGAAGGGGAGAGAAAAAAAATCAAAAGTTCTAAATGTTTTAATTACAAATTCTATTATTTGGTAGAGCAATGCTCACTAAATGAAAAAAGTGAATAAATACAAAACAAAGAGATACAGGAAGAATCTAAAATGTCCTTCTGCACTGTAATCCTGGTAAACATAAGTTACCAAACTTTGGGACTCAGACACCTCCCCAACATGCACCAAATACCCAATGCTCAGGTTCTATGCATGAGGAACTTTTTTAAAAATCAGTCTTAAGAACTCAGAGCTTCAGATCAGACATAGTGATCCCAATGTTTAGGCTAGCTACGGGCCTTTAAGTTCCTCAGTGACACCACTGACATCCCTGAGAGCTTACAAGAAATACAGACTCTTGGGCACTATCCCAAACATTCTAAATTGTAACAAGATCCAGGTAACTCACTTGCAAATGACCACATGAGGACTCGTGAGTTAACTGAAGAATAATCAGAAAGGATCAAGCTACACGTTACACAGTACAGCACTATCTGTAAGTATTTTAAGTATCTTAAAATTATCCATGTGTGTCTCCACGTGGCTATGGGGGCCAGAAGAGAATCTCAGGTGTCATACTTGGGAATGTTGCCTACCTCCTTTGAGGCAGATTGCTGGAGCTCACCAAGTAGGCTAGGCTGGTTGGCAAGGGAGCCCTAGGGATCCTCTTGTTTCCACTTCCCCAGTGGGACAATAGGCACACCAGGCATTTTTAACATGGGTTCTGGGGATTGAACTCGGGCCCTCATACTTAAGAGGCAAGCAACTTACTGAGTTAGCTCCCCAGCTCCACGATGAGGAAAATTTCAAAGCCAGAGTGGACAAATTATGATACGTAAACAGGTAAAATGCCATGAAGCCAGTAAAAACTGTGGTTAGCAGCGAAAGAAAACGTTAAGTCTTAGACTGTTAAAGTTAAGATGCATGTATAAAGCTGTATTGGACACCAATGTTTCTTCTTCTGTACTTACATACACAGAAAAAGGCCTAAAGAACATATGCTATAGGGCAGACAATACAAACTATCATACTATGAGAGGACTATTGGCAATTTCTGCTTTTCAAGCTTGCATGTGCCACATTTTCTGTGATGAGTACGTATTTGGCAGATCACAGTTCATATTATTCCCGAAACAACAACCACCACCATCAACTAGTGATGAAAAGAAACAGAAGACAATGAGTGAAATTTTAAGGTTTGGCTTGTACTCACTAAGCTCCTATTCAAATGCAGTTATCAGTTAAAGTGCTGAAAGAATCGAAGAACAGTATTTCTACTTCTAACCACTTAATTGGTACCAGAGCTTCAAGTCCCTTTTGAAATATTGAATTTAAAGTCAAAGAAATCTCTAGCTTTCAACTCACCATTAGTGATGGAGAACCACAGCAACAATACATGATTTAAACAGTCCTTACCATTAGTATTTGAGAGATCATCTTCATGAGGATGGAAACTATTTAAAAGAGAAATCAGCCAGGGCCAAATGCTGCAAATTAAAGAAATATTTCAGATTTAATTTTTATACAAGAGAACTCAGAATACTAATAAACCACACAAAAATGGCATCTATAGGACCCAGTCCTTACGTAATTTTCCCTTACTTTGATATTTTAAAGGCTATAATTCCCTAAAAAATTTTCAAAGGTACATAAGCAAAGACACATCAGAAGAATCAAATTTGTGTGAAAGATCTACTACTACAAATCATTTCTCAAGCTCCTAATTGAATAACCTCAAAGTTTGTTAAACACTGAAAATTGGTTTGCTTAGAAAACAATCTGTTTCCATGGAGTTGTAGAATTCACTGCTATATCGTTCGTCAGTGGCAGGGTATGGTTAAACCACGTTCAAATCACACTCTGTTCAAAGCAATGAACAATGCTTTTTTTCTCTAGGGTACAAGACCTACAAGCTACAATAGCCTTATCTCTAAATTCTCCACCAAAAGATCTCTGCACAAGGACAAAAATGGCAGGCTAACCTTGAAAACTCTGTAACACAACAGAAAACAAAGAAGTCATCTTTTATAGAGTTAAATGGGTAAAACTTACTAAACAAAATGAAAGCCTGTGTTTTTGTTTTTCTGTCTTTTTGAGACAGGGTCTCCCTGTAGTCCTAGCTGTCCTGGCACTCACTATGTAGACCAGGCTGGCCTTGAACTTACAGAGATCCGCCTGCCTCTGCCTCCCGAGTGCTGGGATTAAAGGCGTGCGCCACCACGCCCGGCCCGAAAGCCTGAGTTTTAATGTGCACAAGAGCCAATCCATGAAAATTTTATATAAGGAAGCAGTATCTAAAAATGTGTAATACCTACAAATAACATTAAAAGGAGACAGACATTATGTTGTGCTATGTTCCTTAACTCCATTCATGACAATGTAAAAAATGAAGTCGCTTATTATCACTAGGGAGAGAAAGAAGAAAGGAGAATTACGAAGTAGAGGGGTCTCAGGGTCTTAATGAGGTCACATCATTTTGTAACCTTGGTCAACGGGCACAAGCTGGGCCACAAGCAGAAATTGCAGAAACTTTACTTAAATGCACAACCAAGACATTCAGGGGATGTACTTTCTACTTATTTCAAAGTCTTCTTCAAACAGTATTTCTATAATCAAAAGTACACTAATAATTTTCACTCATCATTGTAAAATCAGTTGTTCTGAAGAAATGCCACACTTATTTTGATTAGTGATTATAAAGAAAATGAGCAGAAATAATTTTCAATCATCTATGGTTAAATATAATTCAAATTATATATAATTACAGGGCAGCACCAGTATGTGTACAAAAAAATTAAACAAATAATTTCTTCCCTTTAAATCCTCAAGAGAAAAAGTATGGCATATGTACTGCTAAAAAAAACAAAAACAAAAACAAAAACAAAAACAAAAAAACCCTGGTTTTTATGTCAAGTTCATTTTGAAACCTGGAAAATGCCTTTTCCCTCAGGATGGCAAATAACGGGAATACAAGAGTCACAACTTCTAAGACTGTGCCTCACAGGAAGAATTCAAAATAAGTAAATGAAAAGCATACATAGAGGTTTTCAGTTCAATTTTCAGAGTAGGCAGGAAATACAACATCTTCAATTGTTCAAGTGTTGTTTTAGAAGGCAGTTCTCATTTATCTATGAATATCAACAAATAAACCACACAAGCTGTCTTAAAACTCTAAAACACTTACTACTGTCTTTCATCCACCACTGCCTCCTGAAAGACTTTGGGTCTGAGCCTCAGCCAGTCCATGGAGACCTTGACTGCAGGAAGGGGATAGGTATTGTAGGACTCCTGAGACTCGTTCTGGAGAGGACACTTGCACAGGATACCCAGAAAAGACACTTGAAGAGGAAAAAAATATTCATAATGTATAAAGTATTTGAAACCGCATAGCAGTTCAAAATACCACTCTGAGCCTTCTGCTGTATTAACACTGAAATATCTGCATTTATTTCTAAACAGGCCATTTTCATCTGGGCATGGTGGCCCATTGCTATAATCCCAGCACTTGAGAAACTGAAACAGGAAGACCATGAATTCGAGGCTAGCCTGGAATTATACAGAAAGACTGTCAAAAAACAGAAAGAAAATGTTTTCTTTTCTGTGTGAAAAATATCTACAAAGCAGATGAGGGGTTTGAGTAAGAGACAGAATTTGATGTTTAGTCTCCTGATCCAATGCTAAGAAATTACAGAAGGCATTTCACACACCATTGTACTTGGCTACATTTACAAAAATGCCTATTATGTTCTTCCAAGTGCATAGCACTTCAAAGTTAAATGATTCAATACTCACTGAAGAGGGCCAACAACTGTGTCCAACAGAGCTGCTCATCTTGGCTATAACTATGCTGCTCCGTTTCATTGCTAAAGTCACGAAGGTGATGAAGTTGAAACAGATTAATGACAGTGACATGAACTAACTGTTGAGAGTTGAAAGCTTTTTGGAATAGCAGCCTCTGTAAAGGAGACAAAAATACCACAGATTACCAAGAGCAGGACAATCAAGAATCACATTAGTAACAGGATTACAGGTGATTCAACTGTCCCACTCTTAATCTTAGTATTTTAAATTAAAAAAAAATTTATTTATTTTTTATTTTTCTATGTGTACGCGTGTATTACCCGCATGTAGGTAAGTGCACCCATGTTGTGCAGTGCCCGCGGAGGACAGAAGAGGCTGTCGGATCCTCCTGGAATTGGAGTTATGGACAGCTGTTAGCTGTCATATGGGTGCTGGGATTCAAACCCGGGTCTTCTGCAAGTACATTCAGTGCTCTTAACCACTAGTATTTTAAATTTTAACTGGGTCTGGTATTTTCAAAGAAGACAATATGTTCTAAAAGGAATTAATTCAGGCACTGCACACTGCACCAAGCTAGTTCTCAAACTAATGTTTCTGCCCTAATAAACTATACGCATATATTTAATATGATGTGAGAAAAAAGTATTTGGGGCTACATATAAACTTAATGACATTTCAATCCATCAGAGTTTGTTTTATAAGAGATGCACATACATTGAATAAAATGTTAAAATAGGACACATGCTAGAAAGCAGATATATGTGGTGAAAAGAATTGTAAACAAAAAGATTCAAACACTCTTGAACTCTTGCTATGTAAAGCATGACTTCCAAGATTTGTCCTATAGTTTTCACTTTCAAATAATTCCATAAACAAGAAACATTAAGACTTGATAAACGATATGGTGAAACAACCAATAGGATGTCTTAATCATATGGATAGTTTTCTTAGAAAGGCACATATATGGCATGGTGGTACACGCCTTTAATCCCAGCAGTTTGGAGGCAGAGGTAGGAAGATCTCTATCAGTTTAAAGCCAGCCTGGTTTACACAGAGAATCCCAAGGGCTCCATAATCATACCCTGTCTAAAAAAAGAAAAAAGTACATACATGTATTAAATTTCATTTACTTAACAACTGTGTTCAGGGACTGGAGAGAGGATTCAATGGTTATGAACACTGTCTGCTCTTGCAAAGGACCCGGGTTTGGTTCCCAGCACCTATATGGCAGTTAACAACTGTCCTTAACTCCAGTTCCAGGGGATACAATGCTGTCTTCTGCTTCCCATGGGCGCACTTACATACATGCAGGGCAGTCCACTCATACATAAAATTTAAAAAACAAACAAAAATCCACAAAAATACTGTTCATAGAGACCTGCTAAGCAGAAGATAAACAAGTTATCATCCATGTGCTCCCAGCTGGTGACCTTAAGTACTCTGCTTTAGTATCTGCATCTGTGAGAGGTTTAGATTGTTCTCATATAAAATATCTTAAAAAAATTTTTTTTTATCATTTTTATTTTATGTGTATGAGTATATTGCCTGCATGTATGTGAGTGCACCCATGTCATGCAATGCCGCAAAGGTCAGAAGAAGGCTTTGGATTCCCCTGGAACTGGAGTTAAGGACGGTTCATAGCTGCCATGTGGGTGCTGGGAATCGAACTCAGGTCCTCTGCAAGAGTAGTCAGTGCTCTTAATCGCTGAGCCATCTCTCCAGCCCCTAAAATATCTTTTAAACAAAGTTTCTAACGAAGTTGTCACCTGCTGGAATGATAATATTTAGCTGTAGCCAGACTTCCTCCATCTCTTCCCCCAAGAAAAGTATGGAAGACAGCAGGATGAACTGTTATTAGCTTTATGGTAAGAAAAGATGATATACCAGATATGGCAGCTAATCTTAGCACTAAGCTGAGATGGGAGGACTGCAGTAAATTTGAGACAGGCATGAGCTATAGAGTGAGACCTTGCCTTTAAAAAAGAAAGCCAGAACCAGCCATTAAAATGGTAACTTTACCAGCAATAACTGGAGATCTATGTCCGAAATTGACAGCTGTCTTGTACTACATTGTTTTAATATTTTTAGATAAAGAATCTGAAATAGTCACAGTAAGTTCATGGGGGCTAAGAAAGGTCTCAAATTTAATACTGGAAAAATATTCTCTTTACTCTTTCAATCACAACTCAACTTCTTTGCAATCTGTCATTTCAGTATATATATATAATGTTCACCCCTTTCCCAAAGGCACCAAGCATTTATTTCCTCAAAATTTTCCAACAGAACTTTCTAATAAAATTTCTCCTTCAGCCTATATATCCAATCTATTCAGACTGGGTTATTCTTTTCTAGGCTAAGCAGTTTGGGGCATTAAAATGGGTTTCTTTCATACACTCAACCTATAAATATCATGGACTAAGTTTAAACAAGCCATTGGGAGAAAGAAAACAGAAGACTTTGACAGATTACTTTAAAACATGCTACTTTTATTAAAATTCTAGTATCTCATATATAGAAATTATCAACTAAAATATTACCTGTAATTATTTTACATTTGGCTGTATTTGGCTAATTCATGCCTTAACTGTCCAAGTTTTAAAATCTCTTGAATGTGAGACTTTATAAAACTTACAGTAATAGACAACTCCCTAAGTGTAAAAATACTTAAGAAATAGGAAATATCTTGCTCATTGTTGATCCCAGTACCTCTAATAGTGACTGATATTTAACAGTCAAATATTCCAATAATACATTTAATCTATTTAAATAACATTTAAAAGAAAGTTAATACTTTTTGGACTCTAGATGTACTTTATTCATTATAAACTTAAACTGCTCATTTCTTTATATTTTTGGTCTTTTTGAGACAGGTCTCCCTGTAGCCACAGCTGTCCTGGAATGCACCATGTAGACCAAGCTGGCCTCAATGTTCTAGAGATCCAACTACCTCTGCCTCCTGAGTGCTAGGATTAAAGATATATGCCACCACGCGCATCTTTCATTAATATATGTCTATTCTGACATCTGTTTTGCCAAATGGCAGCTAGTCAATGAAAATATTGCTACTGTATCTCTCTGAATACCACAGCTAAGTTTAAAATGAAGGGATGCTACATGCAAGAATTTCATGTATTACAATTTAATTTTTTTTTTTTCCAGTCTTTTTGAGACAAGGTCTCCCTGCAGCTGGCCTGTACTTGCTATGTAGACCAGGCTGGCCTCGAACTCATAGAGATCTGCCTGCCTCTGACTCCCGAGTGCTGGGATTAAAGACGTGTGCCACCACGCCCGGCTTTAAATTTTAATTTTTACTAATAGTTAATAATTAATAATATAAAAACAGGTGCTGAGGAAAGAGCTTAGTGATAAAGCACTTGCCTAACATATGCAAAGCCCCAAGTTCAATCACCACAAAAAGACCCCCCAAAAGGCAAAAACAACAAAAACTATGTGTCAATTTTTTCTTCACATCTTATGCTTTCTGATTTAGAGAAACAAACATTTTCTATTTATAAATCTAACCTTAAACTGTTCTTCCAATTTCTCTCGAAGAGGGCTCAACTTTTCCAAGCTCTTACTCAGGTAGACATGACCGTGGAATTTAATAAAGGCCTTGATAAAGTCAGATACACCCCATTTGGTTTTCACCTCATCCCGGCTGAAAGGGAAGAAAAACTTGCATGAATCTTAATCATCAAAATGAGCAAGAACCCTTCAAAGAGGACTTGGCTTGCAACAAGAAGCTACTTGAGCACCTGGCACATAAGGAGAGGGTTCTGCTAAGTCTAGCTTTTTAATACAACCAGATGACTCAGTGTTCAGCTATAACAAATCAAATGCTGAACTGTACTGCACATAAAATGATTATTATGTAGCTATAGGTTTAGAAGCAGAAGACTCCTAGATCATTGACCATTATTTCCTGAACACCCAAATGTGAGATTAAGGCTTCAGGTTACACAAAAATCTTCTTGGAAAAAAGTCAACCCTACCTTTCCAGTGCTTTAGAAAGTGCTTTTTGTAGATTAGTGGAGGCAGCTGGGAAAGGGAACTTCACAGCAATGCTTCTGCAGTAGTAGAAAATTGTGGTCAGATGGTCTCCTTTGGAAGAAGCTAAGATAGCCAACTGATTGTAAGGCTGACCTGAAGGAGAAAGTTAAGATTTTAAGTCATCAAGAACCAATCTTGCTATCAAAATACAAATGCTTAGCTAAATTAAAAATGTGCAGTTTTTTGTTTCTTTCCTTTGGTCTTTTTGAGACATGGTCTCCCTGTAGCCCCAGCTGGCCTGGAACTATGTAGACCAGACTGGCCTCGAACTCAGAGATCGGTCTGCCTCTGCCTCCCAAGCGCTAGGATTTAAGAAAGGCGTGCGCCACCGCGTCTGGCTAATGTGCAGTATTTTATAAGACAAATCTCAGGACCATTCAATTACAAATGGTTATAATGTGAAATGGCATACATCAGTGACAATGCATCTTTATCACATGCAGGTTAAAAAGTCACAGAAACTAAATACTGAGTGTGACAGTACACACTTGTAATCCTAGCACTTGGGAGGCTATGACAAGAGGGCCATATAGGACTACATACCTAGAGGAGGACTCAGAACAACAAAAGTCATAAAATTAGTCACAATAAGGTTTCAGAAAGGGTTTCAGAAAGGGTTAGATAGTACATCTATTTGGCTTTGCAGGTAATAAGGACTCATCATAACCACTCAGCTCTGCTATAGGCAATATAAAATGGTCATCTCTACTTGAAACATTTTCTAGAATCTAAAGGAATTTCAATGGGTTTAATATAAATGATTTCTATCACTAAGAAATCTGCCTGTTAATTTATTTAATTCAAGAATGCAATGCTTATTTGGGGGCTATTGAAAGTACTACCTTTTAGGTAACTGAGACAATTTTTCTGAGAAAATGGTTAGCATCAAAGATAATTATTCTATAGGCAATTAGAGAAATCAGAATTACAGAAGACGATTAGATCACATTAATTTTATTTATATTGCCAATAAAACTACCTGAAGAAAATTCAACTACATGGAATGTAAATTAAAAGAGAAAATATGAAATAATTATTATACTGACAGAAAAAGTAACTACCTGAAGAAAATTTAACTATATGGAATATAAGTTTAAAGGAAAACCATGAAAATGCAATGCTGCTGAAATTCAACATCTATTGCTTTTATTGACTTGAAAATTGGAGGTTTTTGCTATCGTGTTATAGAGAATAAAGTGACATGATTAACTTCAAGGTGACAGGCCCACTCACCATTGGAGGGGACAAGCTGAGCTGCATGCCTATAGTATGACTCTGCCTGGCTGGTCTGGTTTCTGTATCGAGCTGAGAAGAAAAAAACACCTCAGTTAAAAATCAAACAAATACATATATATAAAAACCACCAGGAGGGCATTTCCAAAACAGCTAGAGTTTTAAATTCTAAAGATAATAAAGACATTAAAGTTACTTTAAAGATCATTAAAGACAGAAAATACTTAAAACAAATTAACTATAGGATTATGTGTGAAGTGTCCATCAGGCCATCTCTATTTGGAACATTCAGCATGTAACCAATTTTAAAGCTTACCTAGCCCCCATTTCCAGGTCCTCCAGTGTCATGCATCACCAGCTCCCACTATGGACTATGCTGGTGACCTGGAGCCGGCCCACAAGAAGGGGTGAGTTATATGGCACTTAAAAACAAAACAAAACAAAAAAACACTATACAATATGATCTGAAAATTAAATATTTCTTCAATATCTTATCAAGTGATTTTTTGAAAAATGCCTATCTACTGTAATAAAGTATGTGTGTGCAAAGAATACATTTAAAGCAAAAACAGCCTAGACACATCATCACTGACTCTCCCTGAAGAAGTCCCTGCTAACTTCAATGTGACCCCTCATAGAGTCACTGATTTATTTGGCAGCAAGAAACCTAAAACCTGCTAATTTAAAAGCAATAATGTTCCTCATTTCTTGTTATTTGAGGACAAGCAAAACATAATCCTATAGTTAATTTGTTTTATAACCTTTGTAAGGTCACCTCAAAGAAATGAACAAGAAAAATAAGTTATATAATAATCCTAGGTAAAATACATATAATGGAAATGCAAGTTTAACTTTTCAAAGGAAGCAAAATTCAAAATGAGCTTTCAGTATACTAATAGGAAGGAACAAAAGCATTCTAGTTCTAAAAGAACTAATTTATAAATCTCATCTATTCCAAAAAGACTTTTACTTTAGAAAATATAGCACCACGTTGATCAATTTAGCTTTGACTACATTTTCGGTATTTATTGTCTACACCTGCATCAAGACTGAAGCGAACTTAAATTTTAATGTGAGAATTATTTTTCAAAATCTGCTGACCTCAAAACAATGAGTTATTTAAAAACATACTTTATTTTCTCATACAACAATCTAAATCCCATGTGTATTTCTCAGCTTAAACAGAGCATCTTACTACAATTACTCAAAAGAAAATCATGACTGTATTATCAACTCCTTTACATCAAAGGCTCACCAATGTCTCCAAGGTGGACGAGGCAGTGCTGGCAAATGTACGAACAGGAGCTGGACTGTGGCTTTACTATGGCGCTGGTATGCGTCTGTTTATTGCTAATAATTCCCAACTGGGAAGACTTCACACGGCATGGCAAATCTACATTAAACACTGTACACAGTTCTTGTAATAACTAAAAGGAAAAAAAAACTATTTAGTAAAGAGAGTATTTTATAAGACAAGTTTGTACATAAGATATGTATCTCAAGTATTAACCCCCACTGAAACCTGAATAAAGAATCCTTTAAAAACTTAAATGGTAATCTTTGATAGAATAACTACCATTCGTTACCAATGTAAACTTTGGATTTTCAAGTATCTTAAATCATTTTAGGATAAAACTCTTAAAAAAACTAAGTAAGCAAAGAAACAAATTTCATGAAATTATTCACTTGTCTTAAAAACTACATAAAAATCACTGAAGACTGGTTGGTTATAACTGTTACTAAAATGCAAGTCAAGGTATCTCAGAGACTTTAGGAGTTCTTGACATTTATTTTCTTACCTCTAGAATCATACATCCTTGGCTACACAACAGAACACTCTGTTCTGAAAGTGTGAAGAGATTCCTCTCCGGTCAGAGTTCTCTCCTCTGCCTGTGCATGCCTGTTACTCTCTTCTCAGCACCTACTCCTTCATCCATTACCACCTGACTTCCATTCAACTCCTTTCCTTCCACCTAGCATTTACCAATGGTTTGCTACAAGTGTCAGACAACCAGCTATGCAGTAGACAAATACAATGATAATAATTCTTTTCACTGATTATCTTTTCTCTGTTTTTTGAGACAGGGTCTCTCTGTAGCACCAGCTGGCTTTGATCTCACAGAGATCTACTTGCCTCTGCCTCCCAAGTGCTGGGATTACAATTACATTCATTCAAGTATCTGCCACTGTATCTGATGCATGGCAAACAACACAGATACAATGATGAATAAGGAAATCTGTGTCCTTAAATAGGGACAGGGAAGTCAGGTGCTCTTTATATAGAAAAAGAGACAGAAGAGAGGAGAAAGAGGAGAAGAGAGCTAAGAAAGGAGACAGAAAAAAGCATGACTGGCCAAAAGCCAACAGCACATTATACATTTATACTAAACTTCATTCCTCAGATTTGACATATTTGTCACACATTATCCCTGTGATGGATTAATATCAACACAGGTCTAAGTAGGTATAAGGTTCCATTTTTTTGCTTGAGGATGTAAAAACACCAGAAATGTCAGGTGATTTTTTTTTTTTAAATAAGTTACAGACAGAATCATCTTGATTCTACCAATAGTCAAACCTAAGATACTGTAACTTGCCAATAGTAACTTGCCACCAGTCCTGTTAAAATGTTGGTATCTGAAAAGTCTACTGCAAATGTATCTCCATTACAGAGATATTAAAACAGATTTTAAGTTTTAAAGGTGAAGAAATGTGGTACACATTAAATTTATTAATGATTTTCATAATGTCAAGTTTAATTTTTAGTTTTAAAACATCTTACTTGAACTGAAAAGCTTCTGTACATCCAAGGAGACAACCAAGGAAGTGAACAGGAAACCCACAGAATGGGAGAAAAACTTCATCAGTGACACATCCAACAGGTTTAATATCCAGAATATATAACAAACTCAAAAAACAGAATCAAGACAAGAAGTAACCCAATTAAAAGATGAGCTAAGGAGCTGAATAGAGTTCTCAAAAGAAGAAGTAAAGATGGCTATGAAACATCTTAAAAGATGTTCAACATCACTAATAATTAGAGAACTGCAAATTAAAACCACTTTAAGATTTCATCTGATGCCTGTCAGACTGGCTAAGATCAAGAGAACAAATGATACCAAATGTTGGAGAGGATGTGGGGAAAGGGCAACACTCATTCACTGTTGGTGGGATTGCAAGTTCATGCAACTCCTACAGAAAACAATGTAGAGAACCCTTAAAAAACTAAAAATGAACCTACCATACGACCCGGTTATACCACTCCTTGGCATATACCCAAAGAACTCATCCTATTGCAGAGACACTTGTATATCCATGTTTGTTGCGGCTCTTTTCACAATAGCTAAGAGATGGAAGCAACCTAAGTGTCCCTCAGTTGACGA